GATCCATAGAAATCCATCTCCCTGTTCCGGGCTATGCGTGTTTTCGGAATCGGGGGGATCAGGGGACGCCCAACACCTACCTATTGATATAGAAAACATATCTGGTATCGAAGATTTTCACACTATCCCAGCACAAAATGTAGGGTTAGGGGTGTTTAGAGGCATGGTTTATATCATGAGTGGACAGTCATGTTTATGTAGATACCGCCCCGTCGCAATAAGTTAGAAAGACTGGATTTCGGATATTTTCGCCGCGGGAACATGGGACGGTATCTCTCGGAGATGGCCCCAGACTGGTATTTTGCAATGGGTCACCCTTCCTGACCCCCGATGAGGGGTCTACTGGGAAATGGAAGGAATATGGAAACTCTATTGGACAGTTTGTTAAAATTTTCAGCAAATCCCCTTTGCCTTTCCCTATGTGAAACAATTCACTGGATTCTACTTTTTTTTTCTTTTAAAAAAGAGGATTAAGCCCAGCATTTCGCTTTCATGAGTAATTTATCCTTCCGAATAGTCGGCTCATTATTGTGACCAACCGCGGCAACGGGGTGCGACTGCGCATATGGGGTTAGCGGGTAGATAACGTGGATCTCTTAACCGCTTTTGTACCTTAAGAACAAGCGCTAGGATCTGGGTTAGGAAACCATCTGCGCTGTACTGTACGAGCCTAGCTCCAAAAGCCATGAGTAGGCTAGCATTTTACACCAAAAACGAGCAACTTTACATCCAGAAACCCCCACCTTGATTCTTCTGATAAAAAAATTAAAATTCGGTGAATTTCTTAGAATCGTTCTGAGAAAAATCAAAAAAAAAATCAAGCTCTATCAATAGACATTGGGAGAGAAATACAAGAAGTGGGAATGGACAAGAGATACCTTGAATCATACCAATTTTTGGTAAGGGGGGGGGGTACAATGAAACACCTCGTGAATAAATATTTAGCCACCAGCACTCGCACAAGGGTGACAAAAATTACACAATTTTTACTGAAACAGGCCAAGCAATTGGAACATAATCATACTTTGTCTAATTCCATCTTGTTCCTGGGCAAGTTAATAGCCTTTATAGGCGTGCAATTTTGCTGCAGAATGGCAGCTTACTCATGATTTTTGGAGCGAAGACGGTACTCGAGGAGTCAGGCTCAGACATGCCAAGACCATTAGATATTTGGGTTTCCTCAGTCGATGACATCCCTGCAGAGAGATAGATCAGCCCTACACCCCCCCACATTCGGTAAAAGGCATGCACCCTCTGCGGGTAATTCCTAAAGCTTGAGCGGGAAGAAGGTGCGGCTTCAGATCACGTGATCTATGCCACGTGTCGCCAGCGTCAATCCTTCCGTTGAGGCGCCGCAATTATGATAGGCTCGCTGGAACGTCTGCCCCAAGCATTTGGTTGTGGGGGGACAGAGCTTCACACATAGGGTTCGACTGGATTAATGGTTCGTCGTGGCTTGGTGAGCGTGCGCGAACGAACTTAACCACAGTTTGGGAACTGGGGAGAAAATATTCATTTCACAGCGAATTTTGATATCTTCCACCGGCACTGGGAGAACGCCCGCCTCCTGTAAGGGGTGCAAGCACAGTAGCGGTATTTATTAGCTGCCAAGTGGGATACTTCAGTTTTCCCCCCAACTCGGAGAGCAAAGTCGATGACAGCAAACGGTGTTACTGCCCCGAACGGACAACACATGACACCTCAGGCCACAGCCCCAAAGGGTGGGGGGGAGAAGAACAGAGGGGGGGAAGTGAAAAGGAACAGGGGGGGGGGGGGGTGAAAGAGAGGAAAAGAAGAAACAAAGGGAGGAGAAGCAGGAAAGGAAAAATTTAAAATTGAGGGGGAGATAGATCAAGGGGTAAGGTCTCAAGTGCTGCAGGTATTTTGGACAAACTCACTCGACTCGGACGGTACCCTCCGGGAAGCTCAGAAAATCCACAAAGGCACGTTACCGGTATGATTCGATAACCAAATTGAATTGAAACTACCAGAATTGTACACTGTGTGGGCAAAAGAAAGGGAAGAGGGGGAAGGAGGAGGAAAAAAAAAGCCCATTTCATAATATTTCCCTCGGTTGCCCTCGGCGCTGCTGCCTTTATCGCTCTCTCCATCAATCTCCCCGACTTCGAGTCCAAGGGCGACACAGAAAAAGTTAAAAATAGAACAGCAAATTCGCCCAGAATCAGTCTTGGCAACCCCCCCCCCCGCTTGGTCCGCCGAGACCTTCTATACAGGTAGGCTACCGTACTCGTAGTGGGATGGGGGGCATAGTGCGCAGGGGGGATGGTGCACACGTCCCTGCTCGAGTAGATTTACCGTACAGTACTGTGAACGCCCGACCACGTGTGAGGATCCACCAACGCATGGTAGCAACAGATGCCGATGACGTGGGTGGGGATTGAGTGTTGGCGTGGTGCGGAAGAGGCGAGGAATTCGCTCGTATTCGGTCAGTGTAGTCTAGCTGCTGAACCTACCGAAACCGCAACGGTCAAAACCACTGCGGGCAAGAAGCGCGGTTTACGGGTACCGGAACCGTTTTCGCTGCCCGTTTTGGTGCTTTGGACTGGCAGTTATGATACTAGTAGATTGACACGCCAGCCGGATGCCATACTGTCTTGTGTGCTGTCTGTGGATCTTCAGTCATCTGGGTGCAAATGTTGGGCCGGTGCTATTTTTCTATTAACTGTCGCATTTAAATTTAGCTTGGGACGGCCATCCCACCCCCGCCGAGCTCATCTGTGTCGGCTCCAGACTATCAATTGCCGGTATCTCACACGATTCCCTCCCCATGTTCCTTTGAAAGCTGTTTCGCAAACCGTTGTTGTACTGTACAGGCCCCACCGAGCTCACGTTGAGCTGCTGAAATGTTACCATAGTTCCGGCTTCGTTCGAAAGCGTGAGCCCCCCTAATGCTTTGTTTTCGCTCTCATACACTGGTATTATTTTCTCTTATCATACCCCTCTGACCGAAGACTTGTTGTCAGGTAGGAGGGGGGTGGCCGGAGCGTCGCTACTGCTTGGCTTCGGTTCACGTGTTTTACGGGTAAGTTGCCCTGCGCGCTCTCAGCCCCCCCAAATCTGAAGCCTTTTTTTTCTCCTGATTTTTTAATATATCCCTTCTATGATTTTTAGGTATGATATGATACATAACAAGCGTATCCGAAGACACAGACATAATCACTGTATGCGAGAAGGATCCCATGGCAGATAAAAACCCAAAGCGAAAACATAAACAACTGAGACAAATGAGAGCCAATACTAATCTTGCCCATTCGGATACCCGCCAAGGTGAATAAATGTTTCCGCAAGGAGACTCCCATGAACGCTAGACTAATAAAATCAGTCTTTTGAAACGCTGTACTACTAGAGTACTATAGGACAGAGCGGTGCCAGCGTGTTCGTAGCAGAGCTACAGGGAGCCACCTATGGCGCCCTATCCCGCCAGGAGGCTATTCTAGCACACCTATGAAGCTCCAAGTTTGGTGGCCGGATATGATCGTGAGATTGTGTATGTGGTGTTAAGCCCCGCCCGCACCTTCCCAAATAGGAAAGCAAGAAGCGAGGTCCGGAAAATTGGGGGAAGAGACCGCGGGACAGATGTGCCTGAAAGACGGCCCCCTGGCCGTCTCTGTACTAAGTATCTACCATTGCCCTCGAATTATTGCTGTAGCTGCATTGCTATCCTGGTACCGTAGAATATTAAACGAGTAGTGTGCTGTATCGTTCTAGTTGCCTCCCACCGAATGGCTTGGTGTTTTTGTTTCTTGTTTCTTGGGCCTTGAGTGGGGGCCAACAACCCATCTTGCTTTGCTTCTTTCCGCCCCTTTTTGGAGAGAGGCAAACTCTGGGCTAGCCTACCGTAGCCCGCGATTCGATGCGATTTGCGTTCCGCAAGCGTTAAGTTTGATTGATAAACATACGCACGCCCAACCGGTGCCTATTTAACAGCTACTTTCAACACCCGTCCCTAAGCATAGAAATAGAACTCCCACAGCAGAAAATCAGAAAACTCCTTTATACGCCGGGATAATATCCCTTTACCCGTAAATCAACAAACCCCGGTCCCAAACTGTAGATGTACAACACCCACGGCGAAAATACAAAAATCCCCTTTTACACAAGAGTCATAGAAATCCCTCCAGTCGTCTAAAATCTCACGACAAGTAACTCCCTTTTAGCCGTCATACGCTCAAATATGACACGGTAAATGCAAGCACGCTGGGAGTGAGATTGCGAATGGAACCCCATATGTCCTTGCCCTCCGTCGCCAGAATATATCCTTAGCCTTATCCCTGCCTAGGTATTCCAGCGGCTCGAGCCCCATCCGGGAGTGGGACTTTGATCAAAGATCTCGATACCTCTAATGTCGGGGTTCCAGCGAGAATTGGGATCACAGCTAGTATTAGGATGCGGGTTAGGATCCCGGCCAGAATTAGGGCACCGGCTAGGGTTCCGGCAAGCGTTGGGATTCCAGCCGGCAGCATGTCTGTACCCGGCATTAGGGTCCCGTCCCGCGCTAATCTTTCACCTAGTATTCGAAGTTTTGTTTCAGTTACCGGTTCTACCACTTCGATTTTTGCCGTCTCCACCACCTGTCCCCTGGACTGATAGGAGTCGATTCCTCCAGTGGGGGTCTGACGGTGAGGGATAGTGTGAGGGGGATTGTGAGACTCCAATCCCGGCTTTAGAGGCCCAGCCTAGGTCGGTTGGCCCTCGACAGGGGTTGCATTTTGTGTTTTCGTCGTACGAGTGTCGGTTGCGGGCTTCAGGGTGCCGACAGTGCGATAGCTACCCCTTTCCCATCCGGTATTCGCCTCTAAAGCCACATCTCCCGGGCTGTACGTTATGTCGTCCTGGATGACGGTTTTTTTTTTCGTTCCCCCTTCCTCCAGGTTATCATGAGTAGCGGGTTTGTTTTCATCCTCCCTGCTCCAGGCGCATTGCCCCAGAGTTCGCGTCGTTTTATCCTGGTCGTCTGCGCTATCTTCACTAATGCCCATTAACCACTTACGGCCCAGTGCCTCCGTTGCGGTAGGACGGTCGCCGGGGTGTATTGCGAGCATGGACTTTATGAGTGAGATTCCGACATCGTCTGTAGGGGGTGATAACCCTTTCAGTTTATCTTCAGGAAATGGCAATTTCCCGAGGAAGTAATGGTACACTTGGATCCATTTCATGAATAGCCTTTCCCCGACAAGTAATTCATATATGACACATCCGAGTGACCAAAAGTCAACAGAGTTCGTATAGTCCGAGGTTTCGCTATTCGAGTCCAAACCTAGAACCTCGGGAGCGCCGTACACAGGGGTGGACACTTGAGTGTGAAGGGTTGTTGTATCTTGAGGCTGGATCCGTTTTGATATTCCGAAATCCCCGAGTTTGACCCGCGGGGGGGACATAGAAACAACAAATATGTTCTAAGCATTCGTTAGGGCTCTGCGTAGCGAAAATTTCAAGGGAGGTGTTTGGTGGTAAGGATCATACCGCAGGCTTCAGATCCCTATGAGCTATCCCCTCCTGATGCATTACTTTGAGGCCCTGGAGTATCTGCCTCGAAATAATTTGGACTGTTTCTTGTGGAAGGGGCGTGTTGATGTACCTAGAGAGATCGCCTTTCTCGAGATATTCCATTGCAATATAGAGAGTCTGGGAGTCCTGGAAAGACCCCAGGAACTGCACAAACAACGATGGATGCTAAATCAGTTGAAAATTAGACTACTACGGTAAAATCGCTTGGGGGGTGGTAAACCGGGGCAAAGTCCGTCGGGAGTGAGAACACAAACCTTTGCCAACGCTTCCATCACAAGGGGTTCCCTGAAGCAATCGTGCCCGGCCAGCCCCTTATCAACCGCTTTTACAGCACGATAACAGCCGGTGTATTTATGGATCTGTTTATGGACGACACCGAAACTTCCCTTGCCCAGCACCTCACAATTTCCCCAACCGTCCTCCTCTTTCTCCACACATTCTGTCCATCTAATATGATCTTGGGAGGATTCTATTCGGAGTTTACCAGTAAGCCCGACAACCGTATCCGATTGAGCATTGTCCATGGGTCGAATCTAGTGCCCCCCTTGTTCTGTTAGTCCTGAGTCCGTCATAAACCGACGAAAAATTGAAGGGATAAAATGGCTGAGGAGAGTCCGGAGATGGGTGTGATGATTTGTAAATCGAGCGAGGAGGGGCGAGGGCTGGGGAAAAGGCGCTCATTTAATTAAGGTCTCCCGTGACACAAGGCTCCCGGATAGAACCAACACGTATGATACCCGAGTACAGCACACCCAGGACAGGGATAAAATCCGTGAACGTTCATAGCGATTGGCAGCAAGCTCAATAACCGAAAATCCGGGCCCAGCCGATTAGTAGCTTAGAAAAAGCAAAATTTACTAATTGATGGCCAATGAACTTCATTTTCACCCCTCCAAAGTCCCGTTAAATGACTAGCCTTGGTACAAGTGCAAGGGCAGATCATGAATTCATGGTGCAGGGCAGGGGTGGTTACCCTCCTTGTACAGAATTTTGGAACACCGGAAACAGCATGCTTTCCAACGCATGGCTTTGAGTGAGTGATGATGAGGGGAGGGGAAGATTAGTGAGTAGTGGTTGACTGGATCACACTATTTTCTAGTTCCATAGTTCCTGCTTTATTGAACCCAGTCGCTCTTATTTGAACAAAGTTATGGCACCTCTCTTATGTCCACCGTACTATTGCTAACCAACCTCTGATCCCTACTCTGTACGAGTATAATACCATGAATTCATGACCTGCCCTTGTACCAGAGTACAGCAAAGTGTAAGGGTATTACACCGCCCACTACCAACAGATAATTTCTTACAAAACACCTAAACTTGGAGATTCGGTTGGGTGCTTTGCTGGCGGAGGCTGATTGGGCGGGCTGGCTGGGTACTGTAAGCTGGTACCAAGGTCTGGAAGGAAGTTATGGAACAGTTATATGAGGTTAGCCAGCCAAATATATTCCTGTCAGTTCTGGTTAATAGGTTCCCGCCCTTTGTATCACTGATCCCCGGATTGCACAAAGCTTCTTGCGGAGGATGGGGTCCTCGGGGCGCGACATGTTTTTGTGCTTCCTTTGACGAGCTAACCCGACTTGGGTTTCCTGCCAGCACTTAGAGTTGGCACCTCTCTCATAATAGACTGCTTGGAGCCATAAAAAGCGACCCTTACCCTGTTGCCGAACTTCAGGGCTGCGTCACGCTGGCGAGTCTTGGCCGACAAGGGGAGGCGGTTTTTTCCGGTGGGAGGAGGGTTGTTCTGAAGAGTACTCGGGTATGGACGTGGGTGGCGGGACAGCCAGGGATTCCAGAGACCTGACCGTTCCTTCTCATACAAATCTTTTCTAGCTCTCCGTAGGCCCCCCAGCCTCCCCCCTTATCAGATTGGAAAGCAGAACATGCGAGGTCCAGCGAGTCGATACCCTCAGCGCGGCGCGAGAAGGCTTGGCTTTCTACTGTCGTTGACCGCCGGCAGCCTAATTGAGGTCGTTTGGGAACTATGCAGAGGCCAAAACACATCAAATTGCGGGTTTTCGAACTACCTACCATTACTCAGCCACCATGGGCACAAGTAGTATAGAAAAAAATTAAAAAGCGATTTGATGCAATGTCACCCGCATAAAAAAGTATGGGGGTTTTTCCTTCTATTACCCCAGAGTAGTGAGATGTGGAATGTCTTCTCGAATTAAGTACCTGCCAAGACCAGGGTTTTTCTATGGGAAAGATACATCGCAACCGACCTCACCTAGCTCATATGCCCACAGCTCTCTAAGAACTCTGGATAAAAATCTGAAATAAATATATATGATACCGAAGACATCCTGAATCTTTTTAAATTTTTTCCTATATCACTTCCGTCCACGGTGATTGAGTAAGGGTATCCCGAAAACCCGCAATTTTGATGTGTTTTGGCTTTTGTACCGTACGGTTACCAAACAAGCCCTGGCGCCTTTAGTCCCGGATACCGGTATCGCCAAGCTTCGCTAAGTGCTCACACGGTCTAAATTTCAGGAAATTTTCTCGCCCGCTTAGTGATTTACCACCTCTATACTCCTGCTTTCCCAATTACCTCCCTAGATTGATGCCATTCAGGCCCTGCCGATTCCCCATATTCTGAGGGTCAGTTTTAAGCTCCAGACGCCATAGCGCGACTTTGAGAACTAGCCGAGAGAAGGCTTTTTTCACTCACTCACTTTTTTTCTTCCATCATGGCCGGATAAACCTATATATGTAGTGGAAGGCTAAAACCTGAACATCCGGCTCAATCCGCCAGAACCGGATGTCTGCTCTCGAATTCTAGTCGCCTATGGCAAAAATGGAATTACTCTCCCCTATCATCCTTGACAGCAGGGGGATTCTGTTGGTGGCTATCGCTCGTGGATCCAGTATCAGTATAAACCAGTGTCTCTGCTTCTCTGGCGGCGTCGGGAGGTTGTGGGCTCTAGGTGTAGTTCTTCCTGGTGGGAACCCGGTCATGTCCACTTTCACGGGTACGCGGCAATGGGGCATCCGTGTGCCACAAGAGATGCGGAGGATTGCGGAGGCTGCCTCACTGATTGAGACTAGCTATCATGTTTGGCTAGCATGCTAAGCCAACAACCGTTGCGAAGCATCAAAACCGCCGCCAAAACGATTCCAGTCTCATACCTGCAGAAAACCACCCATTATGCAGGTACGGGGTTTTGGTTGGGCTCAAAGGGCGTGAGTCCCCCTAGTCAGACAGCCGAGGCCAAGACAAATAGATTCCTCACCCGCTATGCATCACGCCAACAACCGGTCCCACCCACGTCACAGGAATCCGTCGCTATAGTGTGCTGGCAGATCCTTAGACGTGGTTAGGCGTTCATAGTACTCGGGCGGGGATGCATGTACGACCCCCCACTCGAGCCCCCCCATCTACCTTTTCGCTCCAGATACCGCACTGGCCCTGTACGGGTGCAAGCACAATTCATCTGAAAAGTATGATCCCATAACTTACCCGACCGGATCTCTCCTATCCCACGGGGGACTTGAATAATAAAATCGTGTGCTATGTCGTTGGAGCCTCCTCCTCTGGTAAGATCGGGTATTTTTTATTTTTCCATGTCTCTAGGGAGGGGCTGAACAGCTCATTTTTTTTTTGCTGTGCTCCTTACCGATCTCCCAAAGTAAGGGAGGACTCTATACCTGTAATACACTGTTCTATTACCGGTATTCGAGTTTCTACGGTATAAGGTCTCTGGCGGGCCAAGGGGGGGGTTCGCCGAGGGCGATTCCCGGGGAATTTCTTTGTCCTATCTTCAACCTTTTCTGCATGGCGCTTGGACTCGAATTGGGGAGATTGCGGGGAAATCATACCGGTAACATGCCTTTGTAGATTTTCTAAATCTCTTCGGGCCTCCAAAGACAGGTCTCGCTTCCAACTCGAGCCCCAAGGCCTTTGCCGATATTTATCACTGACTCCCTCCATTCGCACCAACATGGTCCTATCGTACGTACGAGCTAGTACAGCGGATCCGGTGCGGGTCGTGGGAGTCTCTCCAAAAATACCCGCAGCACTTGCTCCTTGTTCTACCCCCCCCGCTTTAGTTGTTTTTTATTTTATTTTTCTGCTCCCCTCTGTTTTTTTCTTTTTCTCTCCTCTCCCCTTGGGGCAGTGGCTGATGGAGTCATGTGTTGTCCGTAGGTAGCAGTAACACAGTTTGCTGTCATCGATTTTACACTCCGAGTTGGAGGAAAAACTGAAGTATCACACTTGACACCTAATAAATACCGCCACCGTACTTGCACCCCTTGTAGGAGGTGGGCGCGCTTCCAGCGCCGGTGGAACATATCAAAATTCGTTACGAAATGAATATTTTCTCACCAGTTCCCAAACTGTGGCTACATTCGTTTGTGCACCAAGTCATGACGAACCATTAATCCAATTGAACCCTATCGTGAAGCTCTGTCCCTCCACGGCCAAATTCTGGGGACAGAGGTTCCAGCAAGCCTATCAGATGTTGCGGCGCCTCAACGGAAAGATTGCTGCGAGCGACACGTGTCACCGGATCACATGATCTAAGCGACACCATTCTTCCCGCGTTTCGGAATTACCCGCAGCGGGTGCATGGCCTCTGCCCAATGCGGGGGGATGCAGGGTAGATCTTATGCAGGGGCAAAGTCATCAGCTGAATAAACTCAAATTTTAGATGGCCTTGGCATGTCGCTGTCTTGGAAGCAAGGCGATTGGTAAATGGGTTTACTCATAGGCAATGTTTTTCGAACCCTGGGTTTGGGCTCTTTTTTGCGAGTTTCGGCCCCCCCAAACAACTATGATTTTTTTGCCACGCCAGACACCACTAGGTTTCTAAAGTGGCAGGTGCGGTCGAAACGTTCTCCCGAATAACCCCTTGGGCCTTTCAAAGGAGCTCAACAACTCACCTTTCCCTCCTTTCCCGCTCTTTTTCCGGGGAGGCAAACTTTGGACTAACCTGGCCTACGATTCAAGACAAATTTAGCTCGCTGTTCGAAAGCGTACGTATCCAATACTCCAGTCGGCACAGAAAAATAGATTTCCTCCACAAACTAACTGGTGAAAGGTAAGTTAACCTTGTGGAAAGGTCACGAGGGGAGAGACGGGAGTATGAAACATTTTTTATTAGATTTTCGATAAAAAGGCGGGGCGGACGGAAAAAATGAGTCCTTTTCACTCATGATAAAGTTGATGGCAACACTTTCCGTGGGGAACTGACTGCGCAGGGGAAAACCGACTAGAATAAAACACGGTAGAGTGAAGGATGTGGAGATGGTGTCGTGGACACACACAGGTGAGGAAAACTAGAGGAGCGGAGATGGATTGCGGACAAACTATCTCCAGAAAGAAATGAAGGAAAACAAACTAAGAACACCTTGTGGTAGCTCCTCACACCAAGGGCTAACCACTGTGCAAAGCACGGAAATGACAGTCCTGCTGGACAGGAGGACAAACTGGTACGATGGTGTTACTCCATCAAAAGTGGCCTAGAGGGTGTCCATCCACCCGTAAACCCTTAAACTCCGGTCCCCAAAAAATAGAAATAGAACTTCCACAACCGAAAATCAGAAAACTCCTTATACGCCTAGCCAATATCTATCCACCCATGAACCCGTAGACCCCGGTCCTAAGCGGTAAAAATACGGCTCCCTTGACAGAAATCTAGAAAACTCCTTTTACACAAAATTCATACAATCCCGGCCAGCGGTCCAAAATCTCACGATCAAGTGAATCGTTCCTGTCGTCGCATGCTCCAATTTGACACCGCAAATGCAAGCAGGGTGGGTGTGAGATCACAAATGAACCTTCTGAAACCTCACCCAAATTTTTACACCCTTCGTAGGGCTGCTCCCCGCGACGCGCGGCCTGTTCCTTCGGTTTCTTATATACCATTTCCTTCCATGGGCGGGACAGTTTCCTCGGCCTGATCCGGGCTCAGATACCGGCGGCTCAAGCCCGGTCCGGAAGTGGGACTCTGGTCAAAGATTCCGATACCCTCGAATGTTGGGATTCCAGCCAGTATTAGGAATACAGCTAACATTAGGACTCCGGCTATGATCCCGGCCAGAATTAAGGCACCGGCTGGGATTCCAGTAAGCATCAGGATTCCAGTCAGCAGTAGGGTTGCGTCCCGCGCTAGAGTCCCGTCCCGCATCAAGTTCTCACCCAGTATTTGAATTTCCAATCCGGCTAACGGTTCTGCTGCTCCGGTTTCCACCGTTTCCACTGTTTGCCCCCAGGGCTGATTGGAGTGGGTCCCCGCGGTGGGAGCCTGGAAGTCGGAGATTGTGTGATGGAGGTCTTGGGTTCAGCAACCAATTCTTGTTAGCACCGCATTTTATAAAAGATAACTCGGGTCTAGTATTTAGCGTATCACCTTGAGGATATGTTAGCGGAATACTGCTGATCCGCCCCCTGCGTAGTGCTCCGGTGCCCGTGGCACTGGTCGCCTGGCAATGGTGAGGCATTGATTCCGGCTCCGGAGTCTCCGTCTGGGTCGGCGTGCCCTCAACGAGGACCAGATCTGGTGTTATCGCGGCAGAAGTGTCGGTTGCAGGTTTCTGGGTAGTGCAGGTAGGGTAACTACCCCTTTCTGGTCTCGCGTTCGCCTCTAAAGCCACATCTCCGGGAGTGTAATTTATGTCGTCCTGGGTGCTAGGGATTCTTTCGATTCTTCTTCCCTCAGGTTCGTCATGGGTGGCCAGTTGGTCCCCGCCCCACTCGCCCCCGGTACGCTGCCCTAGACCCCGCGTCGTTCTATCACTGTGGTCTCCACCATCTCCGTTCTCGCTCTCAAGGTTCACCAACCATTCATGCTGCAGTGCGCCCGCCGCTGTAGGGCGATCCCCGGGGCGTATTTCGAGCAGGGATTTTAGGAATGAAATTCCGATATCGCTTGTTGGAGGTGATAGACCCCTTAGTTTGTCCTCGGGGAAAGGCGATATTCCGAAAAAGTAGCGGGATACTAGACCTGCTGAGGCGAATAACTTTCCCCCTGCAAGTAACTCATACACCACACATCCGAGTGACCAAATGTCTACAGAGGTCGTATAGTCTGAGGTTTCGCTATTGGAATCCAATCCTAGAACCTCGGGAGCGCCATATGTCGGAGTCGACACCTGGGTGTGAAAGGTGGTAGTATCTTGAGCCTGTATCCGCTTTGATATTCCAAAATCTCCCAGTTTGACCCGGACGGGAGACATGGAAACTACAAAGATGTTCTATACATTCGTTAATATTCTGCAAGACGACATAGCCAAGTGAGACATTTGGTGATAAGGATTATACCGCGGGTTTTAGATCCCTATGAGCTATCCCTTCCTGATGCATTACCTGCAGACCCTCGAGTATTTGCTTTGAAATATTCCGAACGGTTATTTGTGGCAGTGGTGTGCCGGTATGCTTGGTGAGGTCGCCTTCCTCGAGATATTCCATCGCAATATACAGAGTCTCGGGCTCCTCAATGCATCCCAGGAACTGTACAAATAAGGACGGATGCTATCAAAATGCAGTTGACAATTAGACCACCATAAGAGAATATCGCAAGGGAAGTAAAGTGGGTCAAAACCCCTCTGGAGTGAGAGCACAAACCGTTGCCAATGCCGCCATTACACGGGGCTCCCTAGAGTAATCGAGGTTGGCTAGCTTCTTACTAATCTTCTTCACAGCAAAATAATGGCCCGTAGTTTCGTGTCTCAGCTTATAGATGACACCGAAACCTCCTTTGCCGAGTACCTGGAAATTTCTCCAATCATCCTTCTCTTTCATCACATATACCGTGGGACTGGCATGCTCGTGTGAGGGTTGCGGCCCCATCACATGCCCGACAGGCAAAATCGATTGCCGGTTCCGGTACCCCCCTCCCTCTTTAAATGGTGAACCGATTGCTCTCTAACCGAAAACGCGAAATGAATGGGCCGAACGCTAAGATAAGTGAGGAGATACAAGTGAGGATTTGATTGTCTAGGGAAGGGTGGTGGATTTTGGAGGAAGGATGATTAGTTAATTTGCCTTGCTCGCGACGAAAAGTTCTGCGGTATCACCAATACTTATGGGCGGAGGTGAAGGGGAGTTAACCCCTCCAGTACTTGGGGTGCACAAATATGTCGTGGCGGGTGGCGAAATTTGGTTTTAATACTCGAGTACAATACAATTACTCATAAAAGTTACCCGAGTTGTCTGTTTTCCTAAGAATGACATAGCCAACTGGTGTTGGCCTGTGCATAGGCGAGCCTAATCTAAGGGCGAAGCCAACACACGAATTGCACTCGCGTACAGTACTTGCAGATGGTGGATCCTGAGACGATGCATCTGCACTGGGACATACTTGTAGGAGATGAGAGTTCCCGAGCTTCTAAGACAGAGGCTCAAACGGAAGTACTCGTACGTGGAATTGGAGAAAATGCAACAGGGGATGGTGGCTAGCCTTGTTGGCATCTGAAGTACAGTGTCGTACAGTGCTTGTGGGCTACGCCAACCCCTGTCTGACCCTCCTTCACGGCGGGTCACCGGTTCTCCCAGATGTTGAAAATCACCGGTACTTACATGGACTACTCCAAGCACCTCGGTCAGAACTCTTCCTTGTTATATTCTTATTGTATTTTCAGTTATCTTTTTCTTCTGTTTCATGTTGTTTTGAGACTAGGGATTGTGGAAAGTTGTTCGTCGGCATTGCTCGGGTTCTTGGTCTGTTCACGACTCTCAGAATCTGCAGGCAGAGGAAGGAACCTCGGGAAACTCGGAACTCGGTGATGGAGTATGCTCCAGGGATGTATGTTGAGGGGCATGTTGGATATCGGGAATGTCATGGAATGGTCCTCCATTTGTCTGAATAGAGCAGTCTTGTGTTTTCTATTTGAACCACCATGGTGCCAGAAGATTCAGAGGCCAAGCAGGGCTTCAACGACAATATAGAATACACTTTCGTTTCTTCCTCTTTATTGTCATACTTTCACTCCGATCAGCAGTTCATAATTATACCAGAGTCTAGAGCACCTGCCCCCGACTACGGCTAGACCCACGACAAGGCACCCGGCAGTGACGGGTCCAGCCAACACTAGCCACAGGTACTCACGGAAATAATATCTCCGCAAAAATCTGCTTTTTCCGATACCTTCTAATATCGGAATTCATTCCTCAAATGGTTTCACATTTTAACTCTTTTGTCTCCTTTTTTTTTTTTTAAAAAAAAAAAATTCTCTCCTTCGTACGCATCGTTCCTGGGCGTTGCATAACGCCGTGCCCGACGTATTGACGTGGAGGCTTGCGGCATGGCGCGAGTTCTCTTCACTAACTTAACGTTACATATAACGTGCTAGTGGTATTGGCGGAAGTAGGCTTTCTGGGACTCGCGTCGATTCCCAATCGCGGTATCATACCATGGGGCTCGCTGGACTCTCAATGCAGTTGGGCACGCGACAGATGACGTGGGGTAAGGGGAAGGTCTTCTCGATGTTGGGGAGTAGCGCTGCATTCCACGGGCGCTTAGCGTCCTTCGAGGATCCGGTACCTGCATTGGGGCAGGCAGAGGTGTGTATTGTCCGTGCATAAGGTAAAGGGTTTCGGAAGACATGGCAACGTATTCTCAGTTCACCATTGTGGCGTTTAGTGCCACGTCTTTGGATGGATCGTATGGCCTTGGCACCGACTTACGGTATCCCTTACTATACAAGTACCTTCTTGCCGAAATTCATGGCTGGTGTGGGTTCTGTAACTAGCTGGAACATGCAGATATTCGTCATGGTCAGGTAATAATATGTTAAGCTGCCAATCATTGGAATTAATAGAGGTTAGTTGCTTGGCGGGCACATTTTAACTAGCTGTGCCAAGGAATTTAACAGTAACGGGCATGCTCCGGACATTCCCCTTCTCCAGTCAAAAGTTGACCCAGTTTTAAAACCTGATAACAGATATCTTTATTCTCTCTCCCTTATTGCGTATAGAGCGACCTACCACATCACCCGATAGAGCCACAACCCTCACCGGATGTGGTTTTTGAGAAGCCTCTGAGGTTTGAGGTTGAGCAATATTTTCTTGGCAAACTATGATACCCCGGCTACAGAAGTCCTTCTCCTCCATAGCACTGGCGGTTCTTGGCCGGGAAGGGTAGGTTTTTTCCGGTGGGGGAAAAATTGCCCTGGAGAATGCGCAGGCGATGTTGTTTCCGTCATGGCTGCTGTCAATTAGCACTTGAAGGGTTGGGCTCGGAATGCGCAAACCAAGCACCACCGAGCATAGCCATTATCAACACTAGATCCTCCGTGCACACCCAGTCGTTGTTACCCTAGTAGGATAATACCCAGGGCTCTGGACAGGGTCGGATGTCTGCAGTGGTCCAAACTGCTGTGGAGGCGTTGGCATCTACCCCTGCCTAGCATCAGTTTCCCGCGTTGGCCATTATTACCGGGTAAGGGATAAGCTTAAGACTTGATGGGCGGCCGCCGACTGGGACGGCTAAGGTTGGCTAGTGTGCCTAGTTAGAATAAAGGTGTTCTACAATAATTAAATAGGTACAAAGTGTAGTATGATAGCACCGGGAAAAGGAAAGATGTAGAACCAACGCGGTTGAGGGTGTCAGGGAGGATTACCGGTAGGTGCTGGTTCCTGGCGAATAGACCTGAAAAGACTGAGGGATTGTCCTGGTTAGCCTAGGGGGTTCAGCGGGATATTTTGCGCATTTCGCATCGTTCTATGGCGAACGCTAGGTGAGCGGAATGTCCTTTTCCCTTGTGGGGGGTTGTACATATGATACAGCTAACAGTTTCCTGTGCACTAGACAAACAAATTCAATAACCCCTCTGGGTATCATTTTGGCTCTCTTGCTATCGGCCGGCCCTTATCAAGCACAGAAATAATTTACCATACTGAAGAATTTCAATTGACTCGACGATCAGAATAGTCGCCTCAACAACCATATCATAGAAAACCACTCGATCGTTTGCGGTGCAAGTCCTTGGCCCAATGTACTTACTCCATAGTTCCTCCTCCCTAGTCTCGCCCGTTGGTCTAGCGGAGTAAGGTTTCCGAGTAGAAAAGAGCTCTTCTTTTTTTCCCATCCCAAAAAATCCTTCTCTCTTCCTTCTAGTTCCCTCACCCTCATGATGTGGACACATACCCCGTCTGTGTTCCTCACAGCAGAAAACTTAACAGCATTTTGTTGAAAATCACCGGTACTCACATTGACTACTGCAAGCACTGGCACCTCGGTCAGAACTTTTCCTTATTGTATTCTTAGTGTTTTTTCAGTTACGTTTTTCTTGTGTTTCATGTTGTTTTGAGACTAGGGATTGTGGAAAGTTGTTCGTCGGCATTGCTCGGGGTTCTCGGTCTATTCTCTGCTCTTGGAATCTGCAGGCAGAGGAGGGAACCTCGGGAAATCCGGAACTCGGTAATGGAATACACTCCGGGGATGTATGTTGAGGGGCATGTGGAATATCGGGGGTGTCATGGAATAGTCCTCTTTTTGTGTGGATGGGGCAGTCTTGTGTTTTCTGTTTAAACCACCACGGTGCCGGAAGATTCAGAAGTTAAGCAGGGCTTCAACTACAATACCGAATACACTTTCATTAATTTTCTTCCTGTTCCGTGTTATACCTCCACTCCTATCAGCACTCTATGATAATACATTTGTCCAAAATAAATTTCTGCAGAGTCTAATAAAGTACAGTGACACCACTGGACCTCAAATAGTGAGACCTGACGCTGGAGCGTCGGGCTCTCCTTCACCAACAAAGAGCGGCACCTTTTCCCTTAGTCCGTCCCGAGCTGGGCCTGGGCGGGTTTATCCTTTGCTTTATTTTTTACCCCCTATTCAGGAGTGGGATTCTGTGCCCCATTGGGTGAGGTTCAATTGGCGAGTCCCTGTGGTCAAAGGATAGACTCATACGGAAAGTTTTGCCCCCGAACAGGCCATTTGCCCAATGGTGAGCTAGAGCACGCGTTCCGTAGGGATCCCTAAACCTTGCCCACACCTCGTTATGCCCAGGGGGGTCATCTTCGGGGCCCGAACCAGGACTCTCCGATCCGGCTGGGATATTACCTAGCGAAATGCTGGGTGAATGAGAATGGGGGTTGGCCGAATGATCGGAGGCCTCGGTGGAAGGGGGGAGTGGCTTTGGTGCACGGACTCCGAGTCAGTTGGCCTCAGGGGGCGGCTGGGGTCTTACACAGGGACTAGCTTTTGTCCATCATACTCTTTTGTAAGCTTGATAGTGTGGAAAGGTTTGAATACTGGCCATTTATCAAGTATTCGAGCATTTGGCAGCCAGACTGGTCCTTAAAATGCCAAGGCGACGGAATACCCTATAAACGGCCAAGTAGACCAGGGCATGAATCCCGCCTTACTTACTCTACTCTACTCTACTTTACCTTGAATAAGCTGACTCTTTCCTTCTCGACACTATACATGCAAGGACACCGCTATGGGAAGAAGCAGATGAGATAGCTCCGTGGTGTACTTTCCCCTCCGTGATCTGCTAGAGGTTGAAAGTGGGTTTGTGTTGGTACTGTACATCGTACTTTTCCGATAGTGTCCTTTAATCCCCTTCTTCAAAGGCTCAAGGTCCACCTGCCAGGTGCCACGGGCCGACGATTTACCTTTAGCGCGCTACACGCCCTCCGATGTGAAAACCCGATTTGGGGGCAGAGGGAGGTTTCAAATCATAATCGGGGTGCGCCAGTTGCCCTCGTACTTTTTCCTACTATGTTGATCGTTATGGCAGGTGATACTGCCCCCTGAAAGCCGGCCTGCAAGCTTTCGGGGGTTGTGGCACTCAAGTCACAACCCTGGCACGAGCACCCGCGAACTTCAAAGTTATGATATCAGGACACCAGGCTTCAAGGATCTAGGGGTTTGGCGGGCCTCGGCATTGAAGTTTCTGGACACAGTCGCACTCCGTGGCCCGTATTTCACTTTTGGGGATTCCTCTTTGTCCTGGACGATTTTTTCAAGATTTGCTAAAGATATATAGGAACACATCTCACTCTCCCGGCTTATGCGTGTTTTACAGGAGGAAGATCTGCGAATGCCTATCCCTTATTCATATAGGAAACATATTCAATATCCAAGCTTTCCCCACTGTCCTAGCCCAGATGTAGCATCACGGGTGTTCAGAGACATTTTATACACTATGGACCGTCAGGTCTATGGAGATGATGCTCTTCGTGCATGAAGTTGGAAAGTGTCACTTTCGGATAGTTTCGCCGAGGCAACAGGGGGCGTATTTCGAAGGTGTTTGACTGACCCCTTGCAATGGGTTACCCTTCCGAGACCCTCATCCCTTATGAGGGACCTCGCGAGGAGATATGGGGGATCTTGGAAATGCTACCGGACTGTTTATTGAAATTTCCAGCTCATTCCCTTTGGCTTTGTTTGCTGGCCTTATGCGGAATCGCTGCAAACTATTGAAGCTCAATTGGGATTCGATTCTTCTTTTTTTGAAAAAGAGTATTTGGCCCGGCACTTCGCTCCCCTGGATAGTTGGTTATTGTCCTGGATAGTCCACTCAGGGTTTTAGCCGTCCTAGCAACGAGGTGCGACCACACATGAAATTCGCAAGTGATGGACGTAGATTTCAACTCTTTCGTGCCTTAAAAATTCGCGGGAGCACAGATATGTCAAAACCGTGTCAAACCTGGGTCTCATGTGTTGGTGTATTCCGTTGATGACGTCATCCTTGGATTTCCCGGTAGGTCAACCCACATCCCCACACATTCGGCAGTGGGCGTGCACCCGCTGCCGGTGGCTCCACGACCGAGAATTGTCCCCGAGCGCCCACCACTATCGAGAGCTTGTTCGGGAAGACTGTGCAGCCGTGGACCACGTAATATATGACACTTATCTCGAACCGCCATCTTTGGGTTGAGCGCCACAACTAATGATTGACTTGCTGGAACGCCTGTGGGGAGCATTTAGTTGTGGAGGGGCACCAAGCTTCAGGATGGGGTTTAATTGGCTTGCTGAGCGTGTGCGGACGATTAGCCACAGTTTGGGAACTTTCCTTGTGAATTTTGATTTCTTCCGCTAGTGCTTGTAGACCGCCCACCCCCTGAAGGGGCATTGACCCGTCTTCCCAACATTTTGGTCTCGGTTATCCGGGTCATCGAATAGAGCATCTTCAAACTTTTCGAGATTCATATGAGTGAAATTGATGGAGCTGAATGAATCCTGCGTCAACATGATGGTTCTTGCTGGCGTATTCAGAGGAGAAAGCTGGGTCGAACAGGGTTAATGTGCTTTTCTCTACCCGGGAAGAAGGGTTATGTTATGGCCAAGATTTTGCAATAGTAAAACATTAAAATTCAGGATCGCAGGCCGCCGTGAAACAAACGAGTGACTAGGTGTGACCCACAACAAACGCCAAGCGCTGACTAAAGGCACGATCGTACAACTCACATTTAATACCATAACATTCGTAACAGCTGAACTTAACTAACTACAAGTCATATCCCAATCCTGGTAACCACATTTAATACCATAATATTCGTAGTAACAACTAACCACAAGCCACAGGCGGGGAAAACTCTTCACTTCTCTTTCTTTCACACAATCGCACACTCGCACACACTCTCCACCCTCTCTATTCTCAGGCGCGTGCTCTCTAACTATCTACTGACGGAAAAGATAGGAGTATAAATCGCAACAACGATAAAGCCCGAACGACAAACCGCAAACCAAGTCCTCCCCCCCCATCTCACTAGCAAGCAAACAAGCTAACAAAAGAAAAGACAAACTCGCGCTCCCCCGGTAAGTCGCCCATACATTGAGCAAACCAGAAAAGCTAACAAGGGAAAGACAAACAGACAAACTCCACGCTCCCCTCCCCTCGGCGCTTTTCTTCCGTGCGCTCCGCCGGCGCCTTCCTTCCGTGCGCTCCACCATGCGCTGCTGCAGCGCTCCGCCGTGCGCTCTCCCGCCGTGCTGCCGGAGCACTTCCCCGGAAGCCAAACGAGCAGTCGACGCAAACGAATAAGGAAACCATGGGGGAAAGGGGGGGGAGGGGAATGGGGAATGGGAGGGGAACGAGGGGAGGGGGAAAGCGAGCATGCCGAGCAGCATCTCGCTATTTCCAACAAAACAACTGTTGCAGAACGTTGGGTCCAGCGAGGATCGCCAAATGGTGGAATAAACGGCCAACAAATGGAGGCTTATCCGTAACCTTCGAGTGCCAGAACCTAGCGACGCCAGCCCAAGCGTCACGATCTCGGGCACCGCCGTCTTCCGCAGCCATTCGATAACGACCAAGATCGCAGAGACATTCAACCCATGTGTTTTCAAAGGCAGGGATGGTCTCGTATAACAGCGCCATCATTCTATACGCAGTATAGATAAACGTCAACATATGCTCCAATGAGTATGGTAACCTGTGCCGAAGCAATTCCAGAAAGCTGTATACCCCGTGCCTCCACATCCGAGCCGGCATAGCATACTTTTTGGCCAACCTACTTAAGGCGGGGCTATCGCTCGGATTCTGTGAGGCCAAAGAAGTCGTGATGCGTACGTAGCAAGGTGCGATGCAGGGAAATCAATGCTTGGCAATGTCCGTCATTTATATGAGGCTGTGTCTAGTCATCACAAAACCTTACGGCAGCTTAACCTCCACCTAATCACATTTTGTCTTGGCCATCACCAAACCAGCATAAATACCCTTTACCTCGGCGATGAGCTGCTTGGGACTGATTGGCCGAGTCGCTGGCTGTCTGACAATCCGTGTTTCGTTCTCTTGGAGTGCCGGGCCCCCGTGGAATGGTGGTCCCGCCTGGCGCCTCTGTGGTAGGGCACAAAGCACCTATTCCCCTGGAGGCAAACTCTGTAAATGAACGCTAACCCGTCAAAGGGGCTTGAGAAATGAGACACACCAGTTCAGTACTTTTTATTGGAACTTTGAGGAAAGGCCGGAGCGGACGGGATATATAAAAACCCACGCTCGTGGTGATGACACCGCACGAATTGCAATATCTATTAAGCACCTATGAACCTTCCAACCCCAGTTCCAAAGCATAGAAATATGACTCCCGCAGCCGAAACCTAGAATACCGGCCCTACCCATGAAGTAAAGCATGCAACCTTAACAAAGGCTCAAAAATTTCACGACCAAGATAATTACCCCTGGGCGCAGTTGGCTCGAATTCGACACTGGGAATGTAAGTATGGTGGTGGTAAAAGCGCTATCGATCCTTGCAAAATCCAGCCCGAATCATACCACTTCATTATTCTGTCCTCTCTAATGCGCGATCTATTTGCCCGGTTTCTCATATACCCCTCCCTCTGGTCCTTGATATCGTTTCCCCGGTGTGGTTTCTGCTCAGATATCAGCGGGTTAGGTTCAGTCGGAGAATAGGGCGCCATTCGAGATTCCGGTATCCTAGAGTGTCGGGATCCCAGCCAGGTTTCGAATCCCGGCAAACAGTAGGACTCCGGTTAGGATCCCAGTAAGAACTAGGGCCCCATCCCGCATACTTGTTTTACCTGGCACAAGAATTTTGAGTTGGGCTAACGACCCCGCCACCACGGTTTCTGCCGCATCCCCCATTTGGATGAGGGGTGGATTGGAGACTATTCCCCCGGTGGGGGTCTGCCGTTCGGGGATCCCTTGTCGAAGACCTAGAATTGAGCAGCCAATTCTTGTTAGCAACACATTTCATGTCTGGGTGGGGGTCTGGTATTCGGGGTGCTACTTCGTGGACATGTTTGTGGACATGTTTGTGGAACGCCGGGCATCTGTTCTTTCCACACCGCCTCAGGGCCCTCGGGGTGAGCCGCCTGAGGACTGTGAGGCACCAGTTCTGATCGCGGGGGCCCAATCTGGGTCAGTGGGCCCTCAACAGAGGCCACATCTGGTGGCGTCATCGTTGAAACACCGGTTCCAGATTTCGGGGGGATAGGACAACTGCCCCTTTGGGATCCCGGATTCACTCCAAAAGCTACAACTCCCAGCCTGTGCTTTGTGTCGTCCTTGGTAATCGGGGTTACTTCGCCCCCTCTTTTCTTCAGCTCCCCATGGGCAGCTAGTGCGTCTTCGCTCTTCCGTCTCCGGGCACTCTGATCACGGGTTTGTGCCACCCTCTCTTTACCGTCTCTACTGCCCTCACCGTGACTCCTAAGGGGAATCAACCACTCATTGCCTAGTGCATCTACCGCGGTAGGACGATCCTTGGGTTGTATCGCGAGCATGGACTGTAGGAACGAAATTCCGACATCGTCTGTTGGGGGTGATAACCCTTTTAGCTTATCAGGAAGAGGGCATTCCCGGAAGAGATAAAGGTATATTTGGCCCACAGAGTCAAATAACCTTTTCCCTACAAGTAGCTCATATACGACACACCCGAGTGACCAAATGTCGACGGAAGTTGTATAGTCCGATGTTTCGTTGTTGGAATCCAACCCCAGAACCTCGGGGGCACCGTACACCGGAGTCGACACTCGGGTGTGAAAGGTTGTTGTGTCCTGAGATTGGATCCGCTTCGATACTCCGAAATCTCCCAGCTTGACCCTGAAAGGAATTACAGAAACTACAAAGATGTTCTATGCATTCGTTAGTATTCCGGGATGCGATATCGTTAAGCGAGGTTTTTGATGGTAAGGACAATACCGCAGGCTTCAGATCCCGATGAGCTATTCCCTCTCGATGCATTACTTTGAGACCCTCGAGTATCTGCTTTGAAATAATTTGAACGGTTTCTTGAGGTAGTGGTGTACCGATATGCTTGGTGAGATCGCCTTCCTCGAGGTATTCCATTGCAATATACAGAGTCTCCGGTTCCTCGAACCATCCCAAAAACTCCACGAATAATTTCGGATGCTGGAATCGTTGGCGGTTAGATCGCGGTGAGAAAACACCCTAAAGAGGGTAAACTGGGGGCCGAGAGTGGGAACACAAACCTTTGCCAATATGGCCATAACGAGGAGTTCCCTCGTGTAATCGAATTCAGCGGGTATCCTCTTAGAAATCCTCTTTATTGCGCGATAATGCCCCGTAGTCTTCTGCACCTGCTTGTAAACAATACCGAAACCTCCCTCACCGAGTTCCCCACAATTGCTCCAATCCTCCTTTACTTTCTTTTCCTTATTTTCCGTTTTCTCAATAAACTTTGTATGTCTGGTTTGATCGTGGGAGAATCGCATCTCGAGTTTACACCGCTGAACCAAATCGGATTGAGTCTGGTCCATGTGTTGAATTCCGGGGGCGTTGTTCCCCGGGTCACCGATGAACCGCCGACGCCTGGGAGCGCGGGAGTGCGGGGGGGGGGGGCAGCCGCGACTAGTAAGGAGCTGGAAATGAAGATATCCGCACCAAGCGAAGAGTTGTGAATTCTGACGGGAAAGACGCTATGTTAACCTATCTCTCTCACAGGGAGATGTTCTCTAAAGGTAGACGGGACCGACACTTGTGTCTTATCGAGAACGAGGATGCCAACCCCCCCGGGACCCCTCGAATGGAGCCCCTCAGGATCGCTGTGCAGCGGAAAACAGCGGGAACACGCGATTAACCGAATTGGTAAAATCGAGTGATAATTAGTGAGAACATTATGGTGTTGGATGGGGGTGGGGGGCCTTTTATACCTTTTAGTACACAAAATATTCCACACCATAGCGAGCACCCGTCATAGCGAGCCATCCACCCAAATACCAGCCACTATTCCAATCTCAACCGGCGTTCAACCAATCATGTTGCCCAGACTTGCAGGAGGCTCGCTGTGGTGTAGAATCCGTTGTTACTCGTACGGTACATGCCAACACTGTCAGGTTCGCCAAAATCCCGTCACGTGTGGTAGGGAATACCAGCGGGGTCTTGGCGGGGTCTTGGCAGCAAGGTATGTACGAGTACCGTACTCGTACAGTACCGGCACATTGCATTGCCCGATATCTATTGTCTAAATTAAGCGGCGCAATAAATTTTCCTGTCGGTTTGAGGTGCAATAGTAGCAGAAAAATTCACTTACATCATATTCACCAGAGTAGACCTCCAGGGGCTGACTAGAAATGGGTGTTATTGTCAGAGCCGAGATGCAGACCTCACATCCTTAGCAATTTTTTGTACTAGAGGGTTGATAAAAGTCACATCCACATCCATTACGAAGGTGTGGCATTTGCGTGTAGCCTAAGCCAGATTAGGAAATTCGAGTGATAGCAGGTGAGTGTTTTTTGGTGGTGGCAAAAAGTCTTGTGCGGTAACACTGGCACTCACCCCGCGCTGGCACTCGCAACACGCTGGGCGAGTGCTACTCGTGCTACCGGGAGCCAAATACCCTTACACTTGAGTACTGGTTCTTTGGTTCCTGCCAAGACACTCCCACAGTACCTTTCCCTCAGTGAGAACGTGATACAACGAGAGTGTAGCTGTGTTGCTCGGCTATAGTACAACCAGATACAAATACTCGAGTGGGCCCTGCGGTTTTACTAGTTTATTCTCACGATTATTCACATCCGCACTTTAGCACCTGCCTGTCTACTCGAGTAACTGACTGAGAGATATGTTGTTAGTATCGTTCTCTCAAGAGGGGTAAAGAGAGATAGCGGAGGAGCGCGGGTGGGGATCTGGTAATTAAATCAACATACCGGTAGGGGCTTGGATTCCCGGGCTCAGGGAAGTAGACAAGATGGCTGCCTAGTCTAGAAAAAGGGCACGTGACTTGCGCACCCGAGCACTAGTGTACGAGTGCCATGCTGCGGGTTACACTACCATGACACTTGGCTAGCCGCCCTCCTATCCGCTAGTGTGCTTGACAACTGGAACCTGCTATTTTTGGCAGGCAGAACGAGGTTTTCAAATTGGGAATAGCCCCTTCTGGAGAAAGAATGCTACTATTTCCTCTTGTGCGATTAACCAAATAGTGATTTACCGGTAGAGCCGGTCTATCTTTTTTGTTTTCGCTTTAGGCTATAGAGGAAGCGGACGTTCAGATACAACTCGATTCCGGTCGTTGCTTCTGAGCGAATCGGTAAGGGAAAAACAAGACAAAAATCAGTAGAGGCTTTAGGAAGAGTTTCTTTTTTTTACGAAATCACCAGAGAAATTAGATTTTTAAAAATTTCTTCTCGAATACTGATAGTTCACAGAATCATGCTGGCATGCTTAGGGAGTTTTAGGTAGAGGGGTAAAAAATTTGGTTGTGATTAGTCCGGATACAATTCTATTCAAACGGCCTGTACGATCCTAGCCCCAAAAGTCATGAGTAGCTTGGGGTTTTGCACCAGAAATTCATAACACTAAGGACTTGCAACTTGCCCGAAAATAGAATGGAGTTGATCGGCGTAACATCACCTGCCTTGCCTTACAATTTCTTAGTTTACTCCAGTAAAACCTGGTAATGGAAAAATATTTGCCTCACAAGATGTTGCAAGGTTTTCCACAGAAAACTGGTATGATTTGAGGTAGGCCTTGCTCATCCCAAATGTTTCTGGAATTTCTCTCTGGAGGTCTATCAATTGGGCTTGACATTTTACAGGAGCAAGTTCCATATGATTCTAAGAGATTTATGGAATTTTAATTCCTTGGCATGCATATGCGGGGCTGCTACTATGATGTTTAACCGACCAGGCGATTGGAGCACCAGTTCCTGTATTTAGGAGTGTTGACATTCCCGACGGGGGCTTAACGTGCTTTTTGATGGCGGAACCTTGGGGCGGCACATGTCCTAGGCCGTAAGTGCACGAGTACTGTACTCGTACTCGTAGACTCGTAATTCTCTGACGGTTGAACGACCGGCAGCCCATATGCCCACATATGTGAGATGGGCCAATGGGATGTGGGGTATCATACCAACTAGTGAAATAAAAAAATGAAACCTAAACAAGAGCGCTAGAGAGTACTTCCACAGTACCAAATGGTTTCCGGGGATCCCCACTGCTCGAAGTGTTTTCTGCCCTCAAGGGCTTTCTGAGCTTATCCAAACCAAGATCCTCTTGGGGGGGGGGGGTGGCGCTGGGCCTTGGCAGCATATGCGGGCCAAGCAGCTCTGAGAAACCTCTGGCAATAATGAGTGTGGAATGTTCCTGGCAGCCAGACAGGCTGACAGGATGGGTACCATAGGCAAGAAGTCATTACATAACCACTGGAGCCTGACTGCCTGCACCCGCACCCCCCCCTCATGTGCTCCCTGATCTCTAAGTTATCCTCCTCGCACTCCCACACTCATACGCTCACCAGCCAAGAACGCTTCCCATACTACGGCACTTTAATTCTAGGGCTACGATACCGTCAGCTACATACAACCAGTAGGTTTTATTTCTTTGTCATTTGTCCTTATTGCCTACTGATTTGGAGGTCGGGTTCAGTTTATTTGGAGATCCGGCTCTGATCCCCGGATAACCGAGCCAAGTACCGTGTCGTGAGAGGTGTCTCCCCTGACAAGATTGTTTTTTTGTCTATCGGAGGAGCTGGGCGATCCTATCTTTGCCATATCTTCCGCCGAATTAATCTTGCAAAGGGGGGGTACCAGCAAAAGGGTCATCACCGTTTGGCTTTAGTTCACTCTACACGCCCGATTAGTCTCTCTTTGGGGGAGGCTCCGGGACAAGTATATTCTTGAGAGTCACCCCTTGGCAAATGTCTCTTTTCTCTCGCACTACGGAATTGAGTTTTTACCACAGTGGTATCGCCATACTGTAAATTTGCCGTCGAATCTCAAATGATTGAGCCGTGTGCGCTGCCGCCTGAGTTACCTTCTCAGGTAGGGTCGAGTATACTTTCTCTCACCTTTCGCTGCTTTTTACGGAGCTGTTCTGGAGCAGTGCGCCCTGGGCTTGGGTGCTTGCGGTGTGCCTGTTGATGGCGAGACTCGGTGCAGTGGAGGAAAGACAACAGGATCACGGTGTGGATAAAGACCGAAGGTGAGGAGAGGAGTCGTTCTTATCGTCAATCGGAAGGTCCGAAAGAAGACTAAATACAGACAAGAGAGGAAGCCACCACTAACAGGGTTGGTTCCCCTAACAATACACAATATTGTCACACCGACTAACTAGGGGCCCACAGCCCTACCACATACATCCATGCTTCTCCATAAAATCTCATCAGCACTATACAGTCTCCCCTATATACGACTATTGGGATCATGCTATCACCTCTCGCGCGGTTTAATAATATCGGCTTTTCTGTTATGAACCTTCCAACCCCACTCCCAAAGCATAGAAATATGACCCCCGCAGCCGAAATCTAGAATACCGGGTCTACCCATGAAGTAAAGCATACAACCCCAACAAAGGCTCAAAAATTTCACGACCAGGAGAATTCCCCCCAGGAGCAGTGAGTCGGAATTCGACACCGTAAATGTAAATATAGTGGTAGCAAAAGCGCTATCAATCCTTGAAAAATCCAGCCCAAATCATACCACTTCAGTATTCTATCTTCCCTAATGCGCGATCCATTTTCCCAGTTTCTCATACACCCCTCTCATCGGTCTTTGGTATCATTCCCCCGGTGTGGTTTCTGCTCAGATATCAGAGAGTTGGGTTGAGTCGGAGAATAGGGCGCCGTCCGAGATTCCGGTATCCTAGAGCGTCGGGATCCCAGCCAGGTTTCGGATCCCGGCAAACAGTAGGACTCCGGTTAGGATCCCAGTAAGAACTAGGGCCCCATCCCGCATACTTGTTTTACCTGGCACAAGAATTTTGAATTGGGCTAACGACCCCGCCACCACGGTTTCTGCCGCATCCCCCATTTGGATGAGGGGTGGATTGGAGATAATTCCCACGGCGGGGGTCTGCTGTTCGGGTTTCTTCTGCCGAAGATCTAGAATTGAGCAGCCGATTCTTGTCAGCAATACGTTCCATGTATGGGTTGAGTCTGGTATTCGGGGTGCTACTTCGTGTATGTATTTGTGGAACGCCGGGCATCTGGTCTTTCCACACCGCCTTAAGGCCCTCGGGGTGGGCCGCCTGAGGACTGTGAGGCATCAGTTCCGATCGCGGGAGCCCAATCCGGGCCAGTGAGCCCTCAACGGAGGCCACATCTGGTGGCGTCATCGTAGAAACGCCGGTTACAGATTTCGGGGGGATAGGACCACTGCCCCTTTGGGATCCCGGATTCACTCCAAAAGCTACAACTCCCAGCCGGTGCTTTGTGTCGTCCCTAGTGGTCGGGGTTACTTCGCCCCCCCTTTTCTTCAGGTCCTCACGGGCAGCTAGTGCGTCTTCCCTCTTCCATCTCTGGGCACTCTGATCAGGGGTTTGTGCTACCCTCTCTTTACCGTCTCTACTGCCCTCATCGCGACTCTTAAGGGGAATCAACCACTCATGGCCTAGTGCATCTACCGCGGTAGGACGATCCTTGGGTTGTATCGCGAGCGTGGACTGTAGGAACGAAATTCCGACATCGTCTGTTGGGGGTGATAACCCTTTGAGTTTATCAGGAAGAGGGCATTCCCTGAAAAGATAAAGGTATACTTGGCCCACAGAGTCGAATAACCTTTTCCCCACAAGTAACTCATACACGACACACCCGAGTGACCAAATGTCGACGGAAGTTGTATAGTCCGATGTTTCGCTATTGGAATCCAATCCCAGAACTTCGGGGGCACCGTACACCGGAGTCGACACTCGGGTGTGAAAGGTTGTTGTGTCCTGAGATTGGATCCGCTTCGATACACCGAAATCCCCCAGCTTGACCCTGAAAGGAATTACAGAAACTACAAAGATGTTCTATGCATCCGTTAGTATTCTGGGATGCGATATTGTTAAGCGAAGTTTTTGGTGGTAAGGGCAATACCGCAGGCTTCAGATCCCGATGAGCTATTCCCTCTCGATGCATTACTTTGAGACCCTCGAGTATCTGCTTTGAAATAATTTGAACGGTTTCTTGAGGAAGTGGTGTACCGATATGCTTGGTGAGATCGCCTTTCTCGAGGTATTCCATTGCAATATACAGAGTCTCGGGCTCCTCGAACCATCCTAGAAACTCCACGAATAATTTCGGATGCTAAAACAGTTGACGATTAGATCACGATGAGAAAACACCGGCAAACTAGGGGTCGAGACTGGGAACACTAACCTTTGCCAATACGGCCATCACAAGGAGTTCCCTCGTGTAATCGAACTCAGCGGGTACCCTCTTAGAAATCCTCTTTACTGCGCGATAATGCCCCGTAGTCTTCTGCACCTGCTTGTAAACAATACCGAAACCTCCCTCACCGAGTTCCCCACAATTGCTCCAATCCTCCTTTACTTTCTTTTCCTTACTTTTCGCTTTCGCAACATATCTTGTATGTCTGGGTTGACCCTGAAAGAATACCGTCTCGAGTTTACACCGCTGAATCAAGTCGGATTGAGCCTGGTCCATGTGATGAATTTGAGGCAATTTGACTCCCGGGTCCGCCGTGAATTACAGGTAGCTAAAGATGTGAAAACGACGGGGCAGAATGGCCACTAGTGGTAAGGAGCCGGAAATGAGGACGTCCGAATCAAGTGAAGAGTTGTGAATTTTGATGGGAAAAGAAGCTTTGTTAACCCGTCTCACTCGTGGGGAAATTTACTGCATTAGAAAAAACGGGACCAGCTCTCTCATGGATCGGTGGGTATGGCAAAATCCCTCTCATGCATTAGTGTCAAAGGTTTAACCCCATATGGCTATTTAGTCACGTGGTTTATAACCTCCAAGAATTTACTGCCATATTGCAGGTTTAAAACCACGTGACTAAATGGCCATATGGGGTTAAACTTTGACACTAATACATGAAAGAGATTTTGCCATGTCTCATGGATCCAGGAGATAGGCTGTTTGATTTGAGACATACCCTATCGGATCGCAAGGGTTTGACCAGCCGCTAAGGCACCTTTGGACCATGAGCGGGTTAGGGTTGTGGGTCTAGTGTAAATAAGGGGTTGGTGGTGTGGAGGTCGTGCCATCGTGTCCGTAATTTGTCCGAACTTATTTCTAATATCTCCGATAGTAAGTCACTTCTCGTTTCTCACTGTTTGACCTTTTGTTCTTAGCTTTACCTTATTTATTTTTTTCATCCAAACTTCTATTCATGGGATACTGCGTAAGGGTGGGTTCGACCTTATGCTCGGCTTGCCTACTTCTCAGTTCCGCCTTATTAACTTTTCGGTGGGCTTGTCGGCGTACCAAAATGGAAGAAAAGCTGAACCTTTTCGCGAGTGATCTATTCGTCTCATAGATTCTACTGATAAGGTTTTGATGCGTCTAGCTAATATCTATTTACCTACAATATTCCAAATCCTGGCCTACAGCATAGAAATATAACTCCCGCAGTTGAAATCTAGGAGATTCGTCCTAGTATATGGCATAACTACGCATCAGCATTCAACGTTCCAATTTTCATTAGTGAGAAGATTCTTCTGGGCGCCATAAGCCCATATCTGGCACGGTATGTGCGGGTATTATATACTGATATTTGTTTTTTGTTAAATCCTGCAATTGTCTAAGGGTACAGTATTTTATACTAATAGCAAAGTCAGGACTTATAATTAGGGAATCTAGCATAAATTCTCATACTACATGACTATCCCTAACGCCCGATCCATTCCTGCGGTTTCCCATATACCCGTCCCCTCCCTCGCTAGAGTCGTTTTCTTAGTCTGATCCATGCTCAGCATCCAGCAGTTTGCGCTCCGGGCGGAAACGGGGTTCCACCCGGGATACCGATCTCCTCCACTGTTGGGGTTTTAGCCAGCATTAAAATTATTCTTAGAATTCCGGTTGCCGCTGCAACTCCAGCCAGGATACCAGCCAGCACCGAGAACCCGGTCATGACCGCAGCCAGCATCAGAATTCCAGCCAGGATTATGATCCCGTCCCGAATTAGAGTTTCTCCTAATTTTGTGATTTTGAACTGGGTTGACGGTTGAGCCGTTTTGGTTTCTGCAGCCTTCACTGTTTGTCCTAGGGGTTGACCGGACACTATTTCCACGACGGGGGTTTGGAGTTGGGGGGTTGTTTGCGGGAGGTCTAGAGTTCAGGAACCAATCCTCATTAGCGACACGTTTTATAATATATGGTATAGGTCCCGTATCCGGGGTGTCACCTTGGGGGCATGTTTTCGGAGTATCCCGGAGCTGTTCTGTCATCGCTACCTTAGGGGCCTGCTGACAAATCGCCTGGGGATTGTGGGGCACCGGTTCCGATCCTGAGGGCCCCATTGAGCTGAGTGAGCCCTTAGCGGAGGCTGTATCTGGAAGTCTCGTCGTGGAAATGCCAATTGGAGATTTTGGGGTATCAGGATAACTACCTTTTTGTAGCCCCGGGTTCGCCTCTGAGCCGTCCTTAATAATCAGGTTCCCTTCGCTTATTCTTTCCTGTGGCCTGCCACGAGCAGCTAGCTTGTCTTCGCTCCTAGCATCCCAGGCGTTCTCATCCCCACTTTCTGTCGTTCCATACAGGGGGCCTCCACTACCCCCACCACTACTCCCGAGGTCCACCAGCCACGAATGCCGCAGCGCACCTGCCGCAGTAGGGCGGTCCTCAGGCTGTATAAGAAGCATGGATTTTAGGAATGAAATTACCGTATCGCCCACTGGGGGCGATAGCTCTTTTAGTTTGCCCTCGGGAAAGGGCAACCTCCCGAAATAGTAGCGGGACACTAGCCCCTCTGAAGTAAACAACTTGGACCCTGAGAGCAACTCATATATTACACATCCGAGGGACCAAATATCAACAGAATTCGTGTAGTCCGAAGTTTCACTATTGGAGTCAAGCCCTAGAACTTCGGGCGCACTGTACACTAGGGTTGATACCCGGGTATGAAAGGTTGTGGTGTCTTGAGCTTGGATCCGCTTTGATATTCCGAAATCTGCGAGTTTGACCCAGACTGGAGACATAGAAACGACGAAAATGTTCTATGCATTCGTCAGTCAAGCGAGGTGCTTGGTAGTGGAAATATTACCGCTGGCTTTAGATCCCGATGAGCTATCCCCTGTTGGTGCATTACTTTGAGACCCTCGAGCATCTGCTTTGAAATGGTTTGAACTGTCTCTTGTAATAGCGGTGTACTGATATGCTTGGTGAGGTCGCCTTCGCCGAGGTACTCCATTGCAATATAGAGAGTGTCCGGTTCCTCGAACCATCCCAGGAACTCCACGAATAATGACGGATGCTAAAACAGCTAAATATTAGGCTGCAACAAGAAAACCCCGTACTGGCGGTAAACGGGGGGAATTTTCTCGGGGGCGGGAGCACTAACCTCTGACAATATGGCCATCACAAGGAGCTCCCTAGAATAATCGAACTCGAGAGGTAGCCTCTTATCAATCGTTTTTACTGCACGATAGCGACCTGTAGTCTTCTCGGTCTGTTTATGCACGACACCGAAACCTCCTTTGCCGAGTTCTCCGCAATTTCTCCAATCCTCCCTCACTTTCTTATTTCTATCTTTCGCTTTCTCCACATATCTTGTGTGCCTGACATGATCCTGAATGAATTCCGTCTCGAGTTTGTACCGCGCAACCAAGTCGGATTGAACCTTATCCATTTCCTTAATCTGGAGGTATTTTAATGCCAAACTCACTCTGAATTTTCTGAAAAAGTCAGAAGGTAGGGCAAGAATGGCTGAGACTAGTGAAAGGAGGGAGGTGGAGGTTTGTTAGTCGAGCGAAGGATGGTGAATTTGGAGCGAACGACGCTAGGTTAACTCAGACGGGCTTCTCGTGGCGACTCCAGGCAGTAATAAAGGGTTATTAAACCGTGAGAAGCTCTCAATCAGCGCTAACATGGAAGAGGGGGCCAGGAAAGGTAAAACTGGGGGCGGATCTCATCACAATGGTCACACAGCCCGGTTCAACGCTTGACCTCTGCACCCTTTTTCATCCCTGTTCCAAACCTGCCATGCCAAGAGCACGCCTGACATCCCGACCTCCCGTCAACCAGAAGTACCAAAGGCCGATTGGCTCTCTCGATAGTTAGCTTCTCAATTCGCCTACCGGTAGTCGAAGAGTAGGGCTGGCTTATGACACGTCAGTTTGTTTTGAGGGGAGATCCTTTTTCGAGTTCCCATCAAACCAATCATGCTAATAGCATGGATCTCCCCTAACCCTCTTATCCGCTACCTGTAAAGGAGAGAGAATGGCTGCGATGGGTGCTATCTCTGCCAAACTTCCAACTTTCGTCCTCCTTTCCCTCCTCACTCTCATTCTATCCCTCGCCATGCCTAGAAATTCCTTATATTAACCCTCCGAGTACTAGAGTGTATGGTATTATTAGTTACCGGTGTTATCTAGTGTCTGCCAGGACCGGACGTTCCTGGGGGTTGGACGCGGCCTAGCGTCTGGAATAGGCCCCAGATGAAAAGAAAAAATAGAGACCCTGAGTAGGTGAGATGATTGAGGAAAACTCTCCGTAGGGATGCTCAAAATTGGGTTTCATTTTTGTTAAGGGATGTTTTTTGTTTTTTTCGCTTGAGAACAGGATAAAAGAAGACGAATGTTAAGCCTACCCGCATCCACAAGTATGTAGTACGGGTGCGAGTCGGTTTCTAGTAATTGGAACTATGCGGCTCGTGCACCAGCTTCTCAGAAAGAGGGGGCTTGGTCATCAACAAGTGCTACACTGTTAATAGCACGATACGGTGCAAACACCAGTGCGATACCGTTGCTACCGTACTTCGATAATGGATTAGTGTGAATCGGGCCACGCGGTACGGTACCGGTGCAACGGTACGGTATTACGTAGGATACAGGGAGAATCGGACTGTTAGGGATCCAGGCGGCAACACTACTTCTGAACCCTCACTGGAAATTACCGGGCACTTGAAATCAACTTAAAATCGAAACAGGAATAATCTCCGAAATTTTTCAACCAGAGCCACACAATCTCGGAAGATATAGCTTCATACAAGTGCTCAGAAGACACTCCTCTATAATTCTATGCTTTCTGATTTTCAATCAGAGCAATATTGGTGGACATAGTAGAATTTCGAATTACCCATGTATAGTTTTCGAAGTTAATTTTGCGAAGCCCCCCTGTTTTGTGTGTATTATGTAAGCAAGCGCGGAAATTACCCTTGATACCCAGATCATCGTGGTAAGAAGCCTGGTGGAGGTTTTTGCGCAGGTGCAAAAGGGATATTTGTATTATACCAATATCTCTTTAAAATCCGTTTCGGTACTCACGGACTGGGACAAGTGTCAAACTTGTGCCAGGGGGCCCCTTCTATCCTAGCCGGCTGGACTCGTGGGGCGTGAAAGCCACATTATTGAAGTGCGTGTCTCCTGCACATCGTGCTCATGAATTGTCCATAAACCTTCCTAGTCATCGCGCTAAGAGCAGCTAGCAAAGGATCACTTAGACTAATGGTGCAGTCGAACTTATCGCTTGGTCTGTGTATCTCTTCACTTCTCGATGACCTCCAGATTCCTCCACTTTGGGAACATTTGAATCGCCCCGAAAAGACCGAGGACCTGTTTTAGTTATCCCCTAAGAGGGTGGACACAGCTTGTTCTCGTGATACTGTGGACTACTTGATAGAATGTGGAGAGCAACAGGATAGTGATATCCCCTCCAAGAGAGGTGCTGGTTCTCCCTCCCGTATCTTTCTTGGCACCCTATCTGGGGTGAAGGTCTAAGCCACGCGATCCCAACCAACACCTCAAATTCTGGCGACCGAGCAAATTCCTTTTGGGGGCATGAGCCCTAATTTGACACTATATACAAGCAGGGCCGCAGTGGGGTCATAACTGATGGTTCTGAAGCTTAACCCAAATCTTCATACAACTTCCCAATTTTATCTTCCATGGTGTGAGATCTATCCCCCCGGTTTCCTACATACCATCCCCGTCCGTCGCTGGTATAGCTCTATTAAACTGTGGAACCGCAACCTTGCTCGAAAACCAGCCGGCCATGGTCCCTCAAAATTGGTTTCGCGTGCATATTTTGAGTTAAACAACGGTTTGTGGATAGGGTAAATGCTGCGCCCACAGAACCTTAGCTTGACCCGTACTCAGCTACTGGTAGTTTGAGTTCCGCCTGAGATATCGAAACCCTCCTGTGTTGGGGTTCTGGAAGGTGGTAGGGTGCTGCTTAGGATTCCAGCTAGCATTAGAATTCCAACCAATATCAGGATTCTGCTTAGGGTTGCGGCAAGAACCGGGGTTCTTTCCTGTATCGGGATCCGGTCCTCGATGAGGGATTCGACCGGCGGTAGGATTTTGCATTGGATAGACGAGCGCGTCGTGGTTTCTGCCGTGTCCCCGACAGCCACCACAAGGGACGGAATTCTGCGAGACATCGTCGTCTGAGGCTGCCGAATAACCGGATCCTCACCTACCGTGACGGGCAGGACAGGTTCATTGGTCGGTAATTTTTGCCGGGGCTCTACCGGTGATGGAGGAGGGGGACCCGTGTTTTGGGGTGAGTTCCATCGGTCTGCCCTCCCCCCGGGTTGATTGAGGACAATTTCTACCGCAAAAGTTTGGTGTTGAGGGATCGGTTGCGGGGGGGCTAGAATCCAGGAACCAATTCTAGTTAGCAACACGCTCCACATACTAGTTCGGATTGGTATTCGGAGCACTCACTCCTTTGAGGGCATGTTTGTGGGTCATTGTGGAACTTTTTTTTCCTTAGCACCTTGGAGCCCGTGGAGCGAGTATCCTGGGAATTGCGGGGCACTGATTCCGACATCAGGGGCCATGTATGGGTCAGTGGGCTCTGAGTGAGGGTTAGAGCCGGAGGTGTCACGGCAGAAGTGAGAATTGCAGAGTCCGGGCCTGTATGACCACTACCCTGTTTGGATCCCGGAAGAGGCCAGAAAACCGCATTTCCTGGGGTGTGTTTTGTGTCGTCGAAGTTGATCGGGTTTCTTCCGCTGCTTTCTTTCGGCTTGCCGGTTGCTTCTTTGTTCCAGCCCGCCCTACTCCAGGTTCCCTTACCCGGACCTCCCGTCACTCCGCCCCGACCGCAGCTCTTATCTTTATTTTCGCTCTCAAAGGCCGCCAACCACTCATGCCGCAGTGCGCCCACCGCTGTGGGGCGATCCTCGGGTTGTATTAAGAGCATTGACTTTATTAACGAAATCCCGGCCTCGCTGGTTGGGGGTGATAATCCCCTTAGTTTATCCTCGGGGAAAGGCCATTTCCCGAAGAAGTAGCGGGATACTAGACCCTCTGTAACAAATAACCGTGTCCCCACAAGTAACTCGTACACCACACATCCGAGGGACCAAATGTCGACGGAATTGGTATAGTCCGAGGTTTCACTATTCGAGTCTAACCCTAAAACCTCGGGTGCGCTGTACACTTGAGTTGACACCTGGGTGTGAAAGGTCGTAGTAGCTTGGGCTTGGATCCGCTTCGACACTCCGAAATCCCCTAGTTTTACCCAGACGGGGGACATAGAAACCACAAATATATTCTGTACATCCGTCAGTATTCTGTGATGCAGGTTAAACAAGGAGTCTAGAGGTAAGGATTATACCGCAGGCTTTAGATCCCGATGAGCTATCCCCTGTTGATGCATTACTTCTAGACCTTCTAGTAGTTGTTTTGAAATATCCCGAACGGTTTCTTGTGGTAGTGGTGTGTCGATGTGCCCAGTGAGGTCACCTTCCTGGAGGTACTCCATTGCAATATACAGAGTCTCAGGCTCCTCGAACCATCCCAGGAACTCCACGAATAATGATGGACGCTAGGACGATTTACCATTAGACTCTAATAACAACACTCCATAATGGGAGTAAACCGGAACAAAGTCCCTTCGGAGTGAGAACTCAAACCTTTGCCAATACGGCCATCACAAGGAGTTCCCTTGAGTAATCGAGCTTAGAGTGTAGCCTCTTATCAATTGCCTTCACTGCACGAAAACTGCCCGTAGTTCTCTGGATCTGCTTATGGACGACACCGAAGCCTCCCTTGCCGAGTTCCCCGCAATTGCTCCAATCCTCCTTCACCTTCTTATTCCTATTTTCCGCCTTCTCACCATATCTTGTGTGCCTGACGTAATCCCGCAAGAATTCGGTTTCGAGTTTATACCATATCACCAAATCGGATTGAGCCTTGTCCATATGTCGAATTTGGGTCTCCATTTGACCGCGTAACCGCTCTTAATTAACTGAGAAAGCGGGAGTGCAGGGTTAGGGCGGCCGCGGCTGGTGAGAAGCTCAAAGCGAAACTTTGCGGCTCAAGCGAAGAATGATAAGTTAATTTATATTTCACCAGGCCAAAAGTTCGACTACGGCACTACTGTTTATATAGCGCCGTTCTAGGTACATACGGCCCTCCCCATTGCCCTTTCCCCTCTGTTCTAAATCTCATACCCAGCCAACTCTGCCACAAAAGAGAGCTGGCATGTGTGTGCAGAGGGACAGAGGGTGTGCTGGGCTCTGGGTTTATTGGCTGAAATTATGTGTGTGTAACCACACAGGTTAATGATCCCCCTGGCACTTCTTTCCAGTCATTGCTCCCAAAGCGCCTGTCCAAGATCTTTGTGGCAGCCCGGTCGACAGACTTCACGGTGTTCGAATGGGCGGTCCTTTACCACCCCTGCCTGGGAATCCGTAACTTCACTGCCTGATTAAGCCGTCACCCAACCAATGGATGCTTGCCTCAAGAAAGCCAGCACAATACGGTACCGGTATTCGGGAGTGGTGCCAGCCTTCATGGGCGCTTGGCATCCTTCTGGGGGGTAGCGCCATGGCTACTTCAATGTCCTAGCCTAGCGCCATGCCTAGTCTACCTAGCAGAAAACAGGTGGGGTGCATTTTTCACCCCGCATGGTACTGTACCAGTATTGTCGCTCGAATACGCGAAGGTATTTTACTGGCCTTAGAGGCTCTTAGTAAAAGATATACCGGAAAATAGGGACCAAAAGCACGGTTACTCAATTGGCTAGAGCTACCGAACGCTCCAATTAGAGCCTCTGGATCCATCTGAATTAATTCATCCAAGGGTGCAATATTGCTTTAATTACCTTTTCGGTACCTGTTGCTTGGCAACTATTTCAATAACCGGCCTCAGATTTTCCACAGGATACTCGCACTCGAGCACTCGTGCCGTACTACCGGTAAACCGACCTGTATATCACAAGAGATGCGGTGGATGGTGGAGGTCACACCCATACCCAGGGTACAGTACAGTACAGTACCCTATTAACTCTCAATTGGACATCACTCTAAGACGTCCAGAATTTCCTCCTGTGGATTAGGGAGGGAAACAGGCAATCAAAAAGAAAAGCACGCGCGACCTTACTGGGAAAGGCAACTCCAACGTCCTAGCGTGGTGTCCAATTGAGTGAGTTAATAGGGTAATTTATCGTAGGTTTACTCTAGCATAATGAACCGAATATTTGGTGTGCGCGACAACGCTCGATCATTCAACATCACAGCCTTCCACATCTGGACCCACCATATTATACCTCTACCAGAACACAGAACTGAGAAAACTATTGAGGTAGATGGCTGGTATACAAAGTGTTAATTTTAACTGTGTATTCATGTTGTTTCCGTAAATTCTTTTGTTGATTTGGTAGTTATCTATCGAGAGATTGAGGGTTCAGATAGATGTCCGTACGGTTGCATTGTGATACCTGGTTAATCATGCTAACGTACAGTACAATAACCTTAAAAGGATATTAGTCTGATGAAACGGTCAAAAGGAATACTGGTAGTGTCAGCTGGTGTGAAGAGCAAAACGATTGCAGCCATCACTGAATAGAAGAGGTGGCTGGGGAAGGAAAAAGAAGCAAAGGACGTTGAAAGAGGAGATTTATTAACCGAATTAGTTTCGGTCTGGGTTATCCTGGTCCTTCTCCTCAGCCTTCGGGGAGATCCTGGCGCCTGGTTACTAGTAGATACCGCTATTCCACCGGGAATGCTAACGAATCCGTGACGCATGAAGAACAAAATAGGCAAAATACGGTTGCGAATGTCCACGAATGTCCACGTTTGTCCCCATAGGTCCATCTACTCGTCCAATGATGCGGCTGAGCGGTTGCTTGTCCGCACAGCACAGTACTGGATAAAGGGGCCTTCGCCGGTGACCTTCTTTAGCCAAACCAGCCATTTTTGTCACCCACTGGGATAACCTCGGTACTATACCTACGAAGGTACAGCCCATAAGTTTTGTAGGTTCCACAAGCGAGACTCGTCGCCCTTAGCCTCTGTGGAACATACAAAACTTATGGGCTGTACCTCCGTATGGGGGTCCAGCAAACCCTCGCGCTGTGTTATCAAACCTGCGGATAACATAAAACTAGAATAAAAAACCGTTGAGAGAATGTAGCCGAGCGGGACGTTGTGGTTACATTACTATGTGCCCCTTTCTCGGGAGCCCCAGAAAAAAATTTGTCACTTTCATACTAGTTGAAATGATCGTAAGAAATGAACTCAATTTTCGTTCGTATCTTTGCGGGTGAGTGTCTGGAGTAGTTTCTTTTGGCTGGTGTTGGTGTTCTAATTGTTTTCGACGAAGCGACTCCGTGGGTTGTAACTCCGGAGATATCCGTTTTTCACAGACTTTGCTGGAAACACCTGGCGTCGGGCGGAACGTTTTGGTCGGGCACTTTTGCGATAGTAGACCTCGGGCGTAAACTCTTCACTTTGGTGAGCACAAGTAGAGTCTTCTCTACAACGTGCTTCGTTATAGCTGAGAAATTTGTGTGAGGAATTCCATCTCCCTTTCGACGAGTTCGGCACACGTGGCTCATCGTGTAGACTACCCGATAGGGTGCTAGGTGAGGAGAGTGATAGGGTAGCGAGAACCACTGCCACCTTAGGATACGTCAAGTATGATAATATTATGTTAAAAAAATTTCTTTAACCCAGTCTCACATTTTGGACAGCTCGAAATATTTTCTAAGTCATGCGATTCCATCCAGCGTTCCAAAATCTCACGACCGAGCAATTCCTTTCGGACATCACAAGCCCCGATTTGATAATGTAAATACAGGCGTGGTGGCACTAAAATCGTGATTGATAGTTCTAGGACTTGGTACAGTATTTTTTTATTTTGATACAACTCCACAACTAGGTCTTCCCTAACACGAGATCAATTCCTCCAATTTCCTATATACCTTTCCCGTCTGTCGTTAGAATTGTTTTCCTAGAGGTTGTTTTTGCGATGCATATACTTGTAGCTACAAATGATGGTATGACAACAATGCATGTAAACCGACATGACCAATCATGGCCCCCAAAATGCATCATGTGAGCTGACTCCCAGCCAAACCATGGCCAAAAGCTGAGAAAAAACTGTCCCAATGGCCCTTTAGTCTGATCCGTGCTCAGATACTGGCAGTTCTAGTTCTGTCAAAGGCCCCGACTCTCCCGGCGATGGAGATTGAGCAAGCATTAGGGTACCGCCCAGGATTCCAACAATCATCAGAACTCCAGCCAATACTAGAATTTTTCTTAGGGCCCAGGCCGGCATTGGGGTTCTATCCAATTCGGGGGTCCCGCCCTGAGTTGTGGTCTCCTCCTGCATTGGGGTTTTGCATTGGATTGATGATCGTGTCATGGGTTCTACTCGTGCTGTCCCTCGTACATTGGGTATCAATGGCTGGATTGTGTGGCATTTTTTTCTCTGAAGCGTCCGAACTGGCCGGCCAGAACCTGCTCTGGGGGATAGGGTATGCCCACCTGCGGGAAATCCCTGCCCTGGCTTTACCGGGGATGGGGGTCGGGGGTCCACCCTTTGGGGTGTGTTCAATGGGGCCATTTGTCCTCGGGGATGATTTACGTCTATCTCGACGGAAAATGTTTGGCATTGAGAGATCGGTTCAGGGAGGTCTAGGATCCAAAAAGCCCTTGTCAGAAACACGCTCTATATGCATATACTAGATTGGGTCTGGTATTCTGGGTGTTACCTTGAGGATATGGTCGTGGAGCATCGCTTATGAATTCTTTCGACCGCCGTTCGGTGGCCTTAGAACGGATCGCATGGAAACTGTGAGGCAGCAATTGGGACGCCAGGGGCTCCACCCGGACCAGTGAGCCCCCAACGGAGTGTGCACCTGGCTGCGTCGTAGCGAAGATACCAATTACGGATTTTGGGGTGGTGGGATGACTGCCTCCTTGGCACTCCGCCTTCGTCCCGAAAGCCACATCCCGTCGGGTATAGTCTGTGTCTCCGCGGGTAATCGGGGTTTCGTCACTTCTGCTTTTCTCCAGTTTGCCATGAATAGCCGGTTTGTTTTCACTCTGCCTGCTTTCGGTTTTCCTGGCCCGACCTCGCGTCACCCCGCCCTGGTAGTCCCTTCCGTTTTTGTTGTCACTCTTGAGCCCCATCAACCAAACATGCAACAGCGCACCCGACGCAGTAGGACGATCCTCGGGTTGTATTGCGAGCATGGATTCTAACAACAAAATTCCGGCATCATCTGTTGGGGGCGATAACCCGCGTAGTTTATCATCGGGAAAGCGCCACTTCCCCAAGTAGTAACGTAATACTTGACCGTCCGAGACAAATAACCTTTCCCCTACAAGTAACTCATATATCACACATCCGAGGGACCAAATGTCGACTGAGTTCGTATAATCCGAGGTTTCGCTATTGGAGTCCAAACCCAGAACCTCAGGAGCACTATACATAGGAGTCGAGACCCGGGTGTGAAACGTTGTAGTATCGTGAGCCTGAATCCGCTTCGATATTCCGAAATCACCCAGTTTGACCCAGACGGGAGACATAGAAACTACAAAAATGTTCTATGGATTGGTCAGTATTCCGCAATGCGATATGGTCAAGCGGGGTGTTTGGCGATGATAATCATACCGCAGGCTTTAGGTCCCGATGAGCTATCCCTTGTTGGTGCATTATGTCCAGGCCCTCCAGTATTTGCTTTGAAATATTCCGGACCGTTTCTTGCGGCAGGGGTGTACCGATATGCTTGGCGAGATCGCCTTCCTCCAGATATTCCATGGCAATATATAGAGCCTCGGGTTCCTCGAACCATCCCTGGAAATCTATGAACAATGACGGCCACTAAAACAGCTAACAATTAGACCACGATACGGGATACGGTAGGGGTGGCAAACTGGGGCGCAATTCATAAGCGAGAACACGAACCTTTGCCAATATGGCCATCGCTAGGAGCTCCCTAGAATAATCGAACTCGGTAGGTAACCTCTTCACAATCGTCTTTACCGCGCGATACCGGCCAGTAGTCCTTTGGATCTGCTTATGGACAACTCCAAAACCCCCCTTGCCGAGCTCCCCGCGGTTGAACCAATCCTCCTTCACTTTCTTACTCCTATTTTTCTCTTTTCCCCCGTATATTGTGTGCCGAACATGATCCTGAAAGAATTCAGTTTCGAGTTCATATAGCGCAATTAAGTCTGATCGAGCCTTGTCCATAGGTTGAAAGTGGGGTTCTTTGAGTCCAGAATTAGTTCAGAATTAGTTAGAAAAAAAGAGAGAGGGGTCAGAATGATCCCAGCTCTTGGGAAGAATGTGGTGAATATTTCCGGGCCAAGCGAAGAGCGCTGTTACCTTATATCCCTCCCGTTTACCTTCTTTCTCTTGAATACCACATTTGCCAACTGCGACCACACGAGGAGTAGGAGGTAAACCTCCCTTTGATCCCTGGATGATGAGCGGCCCCCCCATGTATATGCACAAGAGCTGGGTGTGTACCGTAGGTTAACCAACCAGCAACCAAGGAATATCTGCACGACAGCTCATCCTTAACCAATCCGACCAGTAAAAACCTAAATAATGCAACAAAAGAAAAATGTCTCTCCCGTAGAAAAGCACTAATCAGGCCAATCGATCAATGCTGATATGTTGTGTGTGGAAGCTCCCTCCCACTTGCTGCCATTGCACTCACACCGCAACTTTGTCTGTGCCCAACATCCACTAGGCGAGCGGTTGAAGGTCTCGTAGCACGTCTAATCGCACCCTACAGCTCAAGGCTGGGTATGGCGCAAGGCTAGACTATGTGATTCCAGAACCATATCGGGACCTTTCGGCTTCATCTTGTTTCCCTCTACAGGGGCAATCATCGCCCAACAAATGCAAATCATGGGCCCAATACCTTTCCCCCCTTAACCAAAACAACTCCTCGCATGCTTTCCCAGCTCTTCCCTGAAATATTGCACTCGGGTACAGTTTGTAGACATACTCAGAACCACTGGAGTCGGTTTGCCGGGGGCTGAAGTTCCTGTGGGGCAGAGATCCAGCACAACCCTAAACTGTCAGGGATGTTGGAGGCTTTCCACAAGGTAGGGAACTCCCCATTTGTTACATAAACACGGTAGCAACCCGGGCACGGCTACCGAATCACTATTATTTTCTTAGTGATCGTTCCTATTCTGTGTAAGTTAGGTGTGGCATATCACTTAAAGCAGAAAAGTCCTATTCAATTCCGGCGATGCCGGGGCTTCCTTTCAGTGCTCCATTGGCGTTTTATGTCTGATATCACCCAAGAAAAACACAACTTTTAGCCTGAGTGGATAAGTACCCGAGCAGGAAAACTAATTTTTGGTGTCCGCCACGTTGCGACGAGTGCATGGGGTTCGTCTGATTAACCGAACTTTAGCTCGAAAACAGCGGATGAATACTTGGCTTGCCGAGGGAGGTAACCCTGAGCTCGGTTGATGATAGCACTGCCAACAAACGTTAGTGACCGAGAAATTGACGTTACTGGAGGTTGGCTTGGATAGGGGGAGCTAGTATCCCTTTATGTAAAAGGCGGGCTCGTCCGTGGTTGGGTTAATACAAACAAAGAGTTATTGCGCTGTGTGCCGTGACCCTTTTCCACCCCGAGGGAAGGGTTACGGTACAGCGCCCGTAGCCGGGGCTCGGTCGCAGGATAAGAACCACAGCTCTCGGCGTGAGGATGCGGCTTAGCGCCAAGAACATACCCCCTTGTGACCGCTACCAGTAAGTCTAGATCTTGAGAAAGAAGGGCGCAAGGGACTACCGGTATATAATGTCATCCCGCCCGCGTTCCTTCGATAGTCACCAATGAGAGGCACGCAGCGACCCATGTAAGGATCTGGATTTCTTCTTTAGGTTTTATTGTCACTTCTATATATCGGGTTAGTTCAGTTAAGACGCTGAATAGGGGAACGAGGCCTATGGCCGCACGTTTCCAATCACCCCCAAGTTACGCTTGGCTAGGTCTTCTCCTGCTCTGCTCGCTTTATCGCTGTGATATCTGTCAGTTACCTCCCCTCAGTAAAAAAGACTTCAAAAATCCTAAGGAAAAACAACTAATACCGGTCGGCTTTGTAGTTGAATTTTCTCTGGCTCCCTGAACATAGCCCCCCCGGTCGCCCGAGTTCTGAAATTGCCCTAGACAACAGTCGAAAGCCTAACGGTCACATGTGCGTACCAATTACTACGGCAGATAGCATTCATTGCTTTGTAAGAAAACCGAGGTTAAGCGTGGCATTAGCCGATACATTATTTTTCTTTCAACTGTAATTGTTATCATTTAGTTTATAACCCTTTGGCGTTGCCATTCCTACCGGCAATTGACATTCTTGCTGATTGATCGTTGACAACGGCAACGGAACCCCAACACCGACCCCACAGCCCGGACCCCTATTGTGAAATCGCGATCAAACAGGTCTCGGATTACAAACACTTTTGAGGAGTGGCTGTACAAGGGGGGGGAAGGAAGTAGTGCGACACAATTGCAACCGCCTTCTGCACAATCGCACCTCCACTACCAACCCCCCTCCTGCAATACTGACAGAGTCCCTTATGGCCTGTCAGAAAAATTCTGGAAGGCAATATGCAGGTAAAAGAAACTCTGAGCAGTGAGCATAAGTAGTCTAATTAAATAACTAAGTACATACTATTAAGATAATAATAAATAAAATAATTTAGTGATCAATCCATAAACTATTATATGGTGATGATCTTTAATGAAGAAGAAGCAACACTTTGAGTGAGAAACTACATGAGATGATTGAATCTGTATTATCACTCTCTGAAAAATAGCAGAATGGTCTTTCAGAAAGATTGCTGCTGAATTGGAGGAAAAACTGGGTCTCAAAGTCCCCCCACAATATACTAAAGTGGGATAGAGAGGTTATTAAAAGAAAAGGGCACCAAGCTCGTTACTTATTTATTTATTTTATTTTTTTCACTTTCAGGGAATACTGAGGATTATTTTATTTTATCTCCTTTACTTATTTTATTTATTGAATGTTGTTGTGGAAAGGGGGTAGTACTATATGTTGCCAATGTTGTTCATGAATAGGAGTTTGTATTGTACGAGCGTCGCATTACTTTTTTCCACCCCCTGTACTGTACTATGTCGTTGAAGTTGCAAACTCTGGTGAGGTCCAGTATTTTCTTCCTGTCTTTCTGTCTAGAGGGGATTAACTGCTTGCCTTCTTCCCTGCTTTGCACCATTTCCGGGAGAGTAAATTTGGATTACCTAGCACCCGATCCGATATAGTCCTAGGCCCGCAACCGCACATATCGGCTACTGTGGTCAGGACCAAATCACCCATTCATCACAAGAAAACAAGTGAAATGTAAGTTAACTCTGTGAAATGGCCGCGAGGTGTGGCACAGGAGATTACAAAATACCTTTTTATTAAGTCTTCGGTGAGTGGGGTCGGGCCGGCCGAGAGAGAGAAGGATTTCTACCGGCGATGAAGTGAGAGATCCCAAGTATTTGGCTAGTAAGTTTTGAAGGTCTATCTATCCCCAAACTTTTGAGCTTCAGTCCGCTAACCTATAAACACAGCTTCCCCAGCCTAAACGTAGGAAGCTCGTTTTAGACATATATGTCGTGCAATCCAAACCAACCAACAAACCCCTCAAACTCCACCACCGAGAGAACTCCTTTTACGAGACATAAGCACGAACCCTGGACTACGGCTGAAATTTCGCTGGTAGTAAAACCATAACTGCCAAACTGGGAACATAGCCTAATGTTCTCGCTCCACTTCACGTTTCTGTCCTCCGTGATACGCGATCTACTTCGGTCTCCTGGATCCCGTTCCCCAGCGTCGCTGGTACCATTTTCTTAGTCTAATCCGTGTTCGCCTACTAGTGGCTTCGGTCCCATCTATGGTTCTAGCAGGCCAAAACATGCGCGAGGCGGAGAAAAAAGTGATTCGTGGCTGTGCCACCCGTAATCCCAAGACCAAGTGCTGAGGGTGAGATTCTCCTGATAAATGGTTTGATGTGCTTGTGCCCGAGTAATGGGGTTTAATTCGTCCCACTTTTGATAAACCAGTCTCTATAAGGAGTTATATTAATTTAAGTTAATTTATATTACTAATATTGATGTAACACTTTTCTGCAAATTCAAGTTTTCGGCCTCTGCTGTAGGAAAGTTATAGGGAGATGGAATTACTATCCAATAATCTTCTTTATCTTCTCTTTAACGGCTAGTTTATTTTATTTTATTTCAATTGGTTTTGTAATCATTGAACCTACAGAATTTGGGATTAGAGAAAATTCTGTGCAATTTTGGCCCGCTCGAACCATAAGGGGATTTCGTCTAGTCAGCTTTAGGATTTTGTGTAGGATGCCATCGTTAAGACCCCAGCCAGCGGTCGGGTTATATTTAGGGCTCTAGTCAGCCTTAGAGCTCTGTTTAGGATTCGAACTAGCATTAGTATCAGAGCCAGCATCAAGACTCGGTCCGGAATTAGAGTTCCGTCGGGGGTTGGGATTATTCCTTGGATGGGCGTTGTGAGATCTTGGTTTCTGTCTTCTCGCCTACCGCCGGTATTATGGGCGGAATTCTTCGAGACCCGCTGGATCTTCCTCGAGATCTTCCATTGCGATACAGAGAGTCTCGAGTTCTTCAAACTATCCTGGGAACTCCGCAAGTAATGGTGTACGCTATATCACCGGACCATTAAACCACCGCAGGAAAACCTCATTCGGAGTGGTAAACTGGGGCAGGCCCCCCTGGAATTGAGAATGCAAAATCTTGTCAATATGGCCATCACCAGGGGCTCCCTAGAATAACCGAACCTCCAAGATACCTTTCTATTAATCATCATTACTGCGCGGTAGTGGCCAGTGGTTTTCTGGCCCTGCTTATGGACAGCCCCAAAACCTCCCTTGCCGGGCTCCCCAATATCGCTCCAGCCCTCATTCACCTTCTTTCGCCCATTTTCCGCTTTCTCTACATATTTTGTGTGTCAAAAATGATCTTGGGGGAATTCAATCTCAAGTTTATACCAGACAACCAAATCCGAATCAACTCAAAACTGGCAAAAAAAAAAGAAAGAATAAACGGCGAGCATGTCGGTATCTTGTGAGAGGATAGAAAAGGGATTCGCCAATCAAGCAAAAGGTAGAGAATTTCGCGCCGGGAATGTTGGAAATCGCGAGGTGCTGCCCGGTACGATGGTTTTTTCGTTTGTTCGCATAGTATCTCCGGCTGGGAGTGCGCTATGGCCTCGGGCGCACTTCTGCCCCCTCGCGCAGTCAGGTTTTCGGGAAAGCATTTCGGTCGCGGGAATGCGCGGAGGTCTCGGAGCAAGGCATCGGCTGGAAAGAAAGCGGGAGGGCCATAGGGGGGGTCGGGGGGTCAGCGTCGGCTATGGACAGTAGGAGTTTGTCTTTCCTTTGTTAGCTTTTTGTTTGCCAGTAAGTGGGAGTCTTACCTGGAAGGTTAGGACTTCGTTGTTTTGTGGCTGATATATACTCCTTTCTTTACCGCTAATTAGTTGAGTGCAAGAGAAAGGTCTGGGTGATGGAGCGAAGAGTTTTCACCGCTCCGTAGTTGTGCGATCGTTTCTTGTGGGATCTTGGCGTTTCGTTTCGTGGTGTCGCCATTCCTCTCTCCGCCCATTGGCCGTTGCCCCGGGCGCCGTTTCGCTGTCCCACCTGCCTCCGCTGTTCATGTTCGTTATCGCTATCCGCTTCGACGGTCCGACGTCTTCTTTTTAAAAAAATGCCAGCTATCTCGCTAGTCTAGAGAAAGAAGAAAAGACCCTCTGACAGCGTTGATATATAGATATGCACGAGAACTAGGAGTAGTAGCGGGATTTAGCACTGCCTTCCTAACTTCCACGAGTGATTATCTATGACCTGCATACCGTATCTGAAACGGCTGGTGCCCATAGGGAGGCTTTTTGGTGTTACTGTGACCCGTGTCTTTGCCAAAAAATTCAGATTGGCTTTCCTGTATAACCAGACGAGTGGGCACCATGACCTGCAGACTCGGGGATACGCAATGAAGGCAATGACGGCCCGTTGCAAGGGCATTGGGTGCTAGGGGATTTAAGTGGCTCTTCCGGGTATGTCTCCTTAAGCCGAGCTTTACGGTAAGCCCCTTCAATACCGCGGACTTCGCAAAAACCTTTTCAGACATGCGGAACAGAATAAAATTTAGATTGTAGAGCGCTCATGAAAAAGTTTGATTAAAAAATCCAAACACCAGCTTCGTTTGGCTTTCATTTTCTTCCAGACCATTTGCTATGTTATTCATTATTTAATATAAAGTTTCAAAGGAGAAGCTATCCTTTGTAAAGGTTTATTCCACGCTCAAACAAGGTTTCTGATAGTGTTGTCTAGTTTAAAAATGGTATGTTTTAGATGCTATGTTGTGCCAAGAATTCCCAGGGAATGGTCAAAACAATTGAGTAAAAGCTACACTCTAGCACTCGGTTCATCCTCGAAAATTGTGGGAGGAAAGGGAAAAGTATGGTATCTGGAGGCTTCCAGCTACTCTTTAACTTTTCCGCCGTTCTTTAGAAATTATTTAAGCCGTTTAAGGAATAAAAACACCACTGACACTGGGAATAGTCCGGTGTTCGCTGCTTCGCAAGGCCTTCTGTATGAAGGTCTCCGCTAATGGTGGTATCGCAAACGCATGCACAAGCATGGTATCGGACTGGCTTCTTCCGGTACCGTAGCCCGAGCGCTCCAGTATCCAGATACTTACATGCATAATACGGTACCGGGAACCCGGGCAAGTCTGTACTCCGGTTGGCTGGCCCCCTGATTTTCTGGACCACTCTGAGGAAGGTGTTTGCTCCACCCGCTGCGCCAAGAGCTCCCCCCTCCGCTACTCAACCCGCTATAGCGGAGAAATATATGTGGAGCATTCGACTTCCCAAGAGATTCGTTAGCGATAGTGGTTTTTCTACCATATGGACCCTAATATCGAGGTGCCGCTGAACTGTCTGTACGAATTCGGTAAGTTACTGTACTCGTGCTATAGACTACCCGATGGGGCGCTAGGTGACGAGAAAGAAAGGATGGCGAGGACCACTACCTTCTTCGGGTGGGTCGAGTGTGATACGGTGGCGACTTTCTTTTTTTTCTCAGCCCAGCCCACCCGTTGAACTGCTCGATATATTGTCTACCGTAAGTCATGCGATTCTAACTAACGTTCTAAAATCTCACCACCGAGCAATTTGTTTCGAGAATCGCAAGCACAGATCCGATAGTGTAAATACACGCATGATGGCCCTGCAATCACGAGTGGTCGTTCTGAGGCTTGGTATTTTTTTTATTTTTTCGATACAGACCCCGACTGGGTCTTCCCTAACACGAAATCTCTTCCTCCAAATTCCTACATACCTTTCCCGTCCGTCGCTGGTATTGATTTTTAAAGAGGTTGTTTTCGCGATACATATACTTGCGGCTACAAACCATGGTATGGCAGCTATGCCTGTAGACCGGCTAAGACCAATAATGTCCCCCAAAATGCATCGTGTGAGTGGTTCCGAGCCAAACCATGGTTTGTAGTTGAGTAAGTGTGGTCCTAACAGCCCTTCGGTCTGACCCGTGCTCAGATACTAGAGGTCTTGGTTTCCTTGGGGGCCCCGATTTCCTCCGCCGTCGGGGTTCGGGCAAGCAATATGATACTGCTTAGGATTCCTGCAATCATCAGAACTCCAGCCAATACTAGCATTTTTCTTAGGGTTCCAGCCTGAATTTGGGTTCTGTCCAACGTCGGAGCCCCATCCTGCATTGGTGCTTCATCCAGTATTGGGGGTTTGCGTTGGATTGATAGTGTCATGGTTGCTGCTGTCTCCCGTACATTGGGTATTAATGGCGGGGTTTTTCGAAGGGGTTTTCTCTGAAGCGTTCGAATCCTGTGGCTTGAATATGTTCTGCCGGGTAGGGCAGGCTCGCCAGTCGGCAATTCTGTCCGTGGTTTCGCCGGGGATGGGGGAGGGGGGTCTGTGCTTTGCGGTGTGTTCCATCGAGCCATTTGTCCCAGGGGTAGATTGGAGGCTATTTCTACCGAGAAGGTTTGGCGTTGAGGGATCGCTTGACGGAGGTCTGGGATTCAGTAAGCAATTGTTAGAAATATTTTTTATAGGTCTATGCTGCTCTGAGCCTGGTATTCTGGGTGTCACCTTGAGGGTTTGTTTGTAGAGCATCTCCAATCAGCTCTTCCCCCCACGTCTCGGCGGCCTTGGAATGAATTGCATGGGAACTGTGAGGCACCAATTGCGACCCCAGGGGTTCCATCCGAGTCAGTGAGCCCTCAATGGAGGGTGCATCTGGCGGCATCATGGAGGAAGTGACAATTACGGATTTCGGGGTAGTAGAACCACAACCCCTAGGCGACCCCGCATTGGCCCCGAAAGCCAGGTCTCCTGGGGTATAGTCTGTGTCCCCATGGGTAATCGGGTTTCTGTCGCCCCTTCTTTTCTTCGATTTGCCGTGAGTGGTTAGTTTGTTTTTGCTTTTCCCGCCTTCCGTAGCCCCGGCCCGACCCGGCGCCACACCGCCCTGGCTGTCTCTTCCGTTTTTGTTGTCACCCTTATCACCTATCAACCACACATGCCGTAGCGCAACTGACGCGGTAGGGCGATCCTCGGGTTGTATTGCGAGCATAGAATTTAGTAATAAAATTCCGGCATCATCTGTTGGGGGTGATAACCTTTTTAATCTATCCTCGGGAACGCACCACTTCCCCAAGTAGTAGCGTAATACTTGACAGTCCGAGATGAATAACCTTTCCCCTACAAGTAACTCATATATCACACATCCGAGGGACCAAATGTCAACAGAGTTCGTATAGTCCGAGGTTTCGCTATTCGAGTCCAACCCCAGAACCTCAGGGGCGCTATACATAGGAGTCGAGACCCGGGTGTGGAAGGATGTTGTATCCTGAGCCAAGATCCGCTTCGATATCCCGAAATCCCCTAGTTTGACCCAGACGGGAGACATAGAAACTACAAAGATGTTCTACACATTCATCAGTATTCCGCCATGCGATATTGTCAAGGGGGGGTGTTTGGTGGCTATAATCATACCGCAGGCTTTAGGTCCCGATGAGCTATGCCCTGTTGGTGCATTATTTCTAGACCTTCGAGTATTTGCTTTGAAATATCATTGACGATTTCCTGCGGTAGTGGTGTGCCGATATGCCGGGTGAGGTCTCCTTCCTCAAGGTATTCCATTGCAATATAGAGAGTCTCGGGCTCCTCGAACCATCCGAGGAATTCTACGAATAATGACGGCCACTAAAACATCTAATCATTAGACCACGATACGGGATACGGTAGGAGTGGCAAACTAGGGCGCACCCCTTCACAAGCGAGAGTACGAACCTTTGCCAATATGGCCATCGCAAGGAGCTCCCTAGAATAATCGAACTCGGTGGGTAACCCCTTCACAATCGTCTTTACTGCACGATAACGGCCGGTAGTCTTTTGGTTCTGTTTATGGACAACTCCGAAACCTCCTCTTCCGAGTTCCCCGCAATTGCTCCAATCCTCCTTTACTTTCTTATTCCTATTTTTCGCTTTCTCCACGCATCTTGTGTGCCGAACATGATCCTGAAAGAATTCAGTCTCAAGCTTATACCGCACAACCAAATCGGATTGAACCTTTTCCATGTGTTGAATTTGAGGCTTTTTGGGTCCCGAATTAGCTTGAAAACGTGGGTGTGCAATGCCGGAACGACTGAGGCCGGTTCGAAGAATGGATGATGTTTTTGGGTAGCCGAAGAGAGCTGTAAACTTATATCCCTCCAGCCGAACAGCCTACTATTCACTCATTCACCCCCGTAACTACCGCCGGCCGATCGACCAGCCCAACATTAAAGTCACACACACCTCACAACTGCACTTCGCTTGGCGTGCGTATGCGGGGGGGTTTTTAGGCGTTTCGATCTAGGAATAGGAGTGGTCCATGGCGAGTGCGCAGCATAACTCACTTGAGTAAATGTGAGGAGCAGGCGTTCACAGATAAACAGTGATGGATAAGACCGGAGAACGGAGACCAAAGACCGAACATCCCTCAATATCATCGCGATTATGTCAGTTAAACTAGGATGTTGTCCACATGTCAGCCCCAAGGTAACAAATCCGGCGCCAGTTGCGCAGTTGCCTCACGTTGCTTCACCCTGGCATTGTATGTACTAGGCGAGCCATTACAAAGCTCCCGCCGTACTTGGGAATAGCTAGATATGTCATGGCCGGATTTGGCTTATGGACGAATAATATAATTCTGGGAGACATCGCTGTATCTCAACTTCCTAATCATGCAAGTATACCCAGATTCCCCAGAGACTGCTTAGGTTCGTAAAATATTTTTCGAATATTTTTTTTCCTTTACTCAAGTTCCTTTTTCTAATGCTCTATAACCCGGACCATCACCTGCACTACGAAGACTTTAAAAAATGGCTAATAGTAGCGCGCACGCGGCTTAACATCGGGAAGTGATCTACTTACACAGTGTGCAGCCTGTTACCGGTAATGGAAAATCGCGATCCCATACGACGCTGGATTGTTATGGGATAGACAGGACCTAACAGTAGTGGAGAGTCGGACTCACGCTCCCGGGAATATGGTGCCACCGATATGGTAGCAACCTTTCTACTTTGGTAGGGTGTTAGATATGCCGTAAGCGTCACCCCTCTTCCAGCCCTATCAGCATTTACAACGGTTCAGCTAACTATTCTCGCGACCAGCTACCCGGGTTATTGCCATGACGGCTTTGTCCTATTCACTTCACCTCGAGGAGTCTCTTTTTTCTCTTTTCTGCTAACTCAGTGTACTTCGAACGGTCGGTACTACCGTTATTGTTATCCAGGCAACTTGGATGTGGTTTAGCAAGCTGAGCCTACCTTGCGATAAGACTTTGGGTTTGTTTAATATTTCGTCAGCATAGGCGTAGGCAGCAGTACCGTACTCGATGTTCACTCTAAGGCGGCTGACGATACCTAGGTTTTGATCGCCATCGATGGCGAGAGTTGTGTTTTTTCTTCCCCTTTTCGGCCGCGGGTTTAGCTGTCATTGTCTACCTACTGCCCATCATACCTACCTACCCACTATGATACTATACCTACTTGCTAAAGCTCCACGCTTAGGACTTCCACTTTTCGCTGGCGGTCCTATTATAATGACAACCATATCATGACTCGGAACCCCCAGGGCGCGCTTGTGTCAATGTGTGGTTAGGATAAGGTTTTTGTACGCTAGTCCTGCGTTGGTTCCGTGCATTTGATGGTTGTTAGGTGATCTACCACATTGTTTCCTTCGAGTCACGCATTAACTCACGCCGCGTGAGTTAATGCGTGACTAGTGTTGTTCACG